TGCAAACCTATACCACGATTGGTGAATGGCAAGGCAGTCACTGGTGTACGCACTATGTGAACCAGACCCCATTCGAATGTTACTGCAAGAAGCAAGCTACTGTGGAAGCAGCCCAATACGGCTCTGAGTTCGTTGCTGCTAGGGTTGCCACCAACAGGCCATTGCAGCCAGAGTTACACTCAGTATCTTGGTGTGGAGGTAAAGGGGCCAACATACATGTTTGGCGACAATGGGTTGTGGTGACAGTTCACCCAGCCCCATTCGCCCCAAGAAGAGACATCACGCCCTCTCCTACCACTCGTCAGAGAAGCCATTGCCGCAGGGACCATCTCGTTTCATCATCTACCGGAGCAATCAACCCCGCAGACATCTGACGAAACACTGGGGTAACTCCCAGATATGGCCCATCCTGAAGGCAGTTCTGTTCGGCAAGGAGACACAGCTGATCTCCTAGACACCACCATGGACACATCACATGGTGGGGAGCGATGAGTGGAAATCCACGTGAATTCCATTGTGGTGCGAAGCAGCTGTGCTGGTTTAGCCAGGTGGAAGAATCGCTGTGACATCTTGTATACTCCAACAGTAGGGTCAGCAGTGCAGCCATCTGGCAAACAGAAATAGCTGAGGAACTCTATATACCCAAGGATGATGCAGTTCTTCAGCCAAGACCAAATAGAAAGTTAGCTTGCCAGCACCAGCCAAATGAGATGCAAGAGAGCCAAAGCTGCATGGCTGAGTGCTGTTCGAGGATTTTGTGTTCAGTTGATTTAGCATAGTTTTAAAAGAAGAAGAAGTAATGAAAGGATAGTTGACCAGATACAGCCTCATAGCACTAGTTTCCCCACAGTTGAAGCCTTCCTGTGTGGATTGTGCCAAGGCAAAGAGTGAGTTGTTCAATCATTGCTGTGGAGATTGAATAGCAGTGGCAGCCAGCTTTGTGGCTGGCCCATTCCCACTGTCAGAGGAGTGAGGCTCCAAGCAGAGCTCTCCACTCCAGCCAGCTCTTTGTGCATCTACCCTGACTGGATCTCATCGCGCATCACTTCATGCACATAGCCTTTGTCTTCAGCAAAAGCAATGGTAGCTCATCATCTTCGCTGTCGCTGTCATCTTTGCTGTCCTCTCCCACAACCAACTTCATTCATGCCTTCTTGATTGTTGCATTGGCCTTTGAAGAAAATGCTGATACATGTTCCTCATCCTCATCCGCGTCACCATCCTTGCAAATGGTACCGTTGTATTGTTTTGCACAGAGTTTCTTTAGTCCCAGTTTTTGTGCTGAGCTACGTGCCCATCTTTGACTGCCCTTCAACTCGTTGGCAATCTTCGCCCACGAGAGTGGAGGCTGCGTCTGTGTTACGAGAGCTCAGAATCGGCTTTCGTAAGTGCTTGCCGGCTTTTGGAATATTGTGGGGTTGTACCCAATGACTGCTGCGACAACGTTCCATTTCCGAGTCTTGATTGCAGCTGCAAACTTGCAGTACATACTATTGTCGTGGCCATGGACTATTTTGGTGTGATCGTGCTTATCACACTCTGTTTTGAGCACCATAATTTCCTCAGAACAAAATGCAAGTTGCTTCCAATTTGGAGGAAGTCTATTCTCCGCCATGACAGTTTTGTATTCTGCATTTTTCTTTTACTATTTCAAAATACGGATTAATACCGATTAATACTGGTTTGTGAAATCTACTTATCAATAAGCGGAAAATCCGCTGTTAATTGACCCTGATCCACCAGGATATACATTCGGGCTTTCTCTTGGATGTCTCGGAGTCCCAGCACTGTGCTATGCATCCAAAAGTTATCAAGGTATTCATGAAGAGGGCAATCCCGTTGTCGCATGTAGTGCCACTGAAAAATCAAGAGTTCCACAAGCCACTTCAGGATTACGGACTTTAAGGTTTGTTCTGAAAAGCCACGATTTCTTGTAATTGTATCTGTGCAGAACCTTGGACAAATCCTTATCTGAAAAAGGACACAGTGCACAACAAGATGGTTCTCATCAATCCCATAGTGAGCAGTGTTCAAAGCGGAAGTAATCACACAAGAGGGAGTGATATGGGTCTCTCTTGGCCCTCATGTAAACTTCTAAGAATGCCCCAATCTCCACACAGCTAGGCCTTGAGGAAAGCGCTTCGGATCACTTCCATAGAATTGCAGAATCCAAAGAATTGCTTTTCTCTGTTGATCGATTGGAACCCATGGGTTTTCTCCCTGCCTCTCTACCCATGCAGACCACAATCGAGAAAACACACTGCTGATCTTCTTCATGAAATTCTTGAGTATTTGCTGATACCCAAGCTGAATAGCTCATTCTCTAGATGATTCCATGTACATGGTTGGAAGCTGTGCTTCATCTTCATCTTCATCTTCTGCTGAGTCAGCATCTGAGTCATCTCCATCCTTTCGGGTCAGAGCGTGTCCTGGTGGCAACCAAAAAGAACTGGTAGAAGACTTGTAAAATTGAAACTTCTTCTGCATCATCAGTTTCCACATCAGTGCGGTCAGGACAGAGGTAGAGATCTCTCAGAGGTAGCTATATGAAAGGAATTCTTCACTTCCATATCAGCACGTTCAACTAGGAAATAGCCCAGGTTCACCCACTGGTTTAACACAGACAGCATCACCACTCGGCTTTGTCTTGTTGTGTTTTTGAAAGTTTTCCTCAATCTCAGACAATAGATGATTGATTCCCAGCAGGTACTTGTTTGGAAGCACCATCAGATGGGTCCAATGCTCCATGTCCAGTCTCAGAACTTTGGCAAGAACATGGGAGGCGGACGGGAAGGATGAAAGAGCAAGTCCTCTTGACAAAAACAATGCAAGCAGTATTTGCAATTTTCTGGATCACCGTGTCCCTGGCACAAAAGTTTTGGATACATCCTACAGTTGGTGCCAGGTCGGCCCACAACAAAATAATCGGCGCAGCCTGCATCCGCACGAGCCTTGTTGGTAGGTAGTACCATCCTCCAAATATATGCAATCATAGTACACCTTCATTTCCCCATTATCCATAGTTACATGAACTTCTGGAAAGGAGTATCTTTTTGATAGAGGAAGTTCATCAACATGAGTCTTGTCGTGAAGGCCAGTACATCCATTGGGCCCAAAATGGCAAGAATGAGAGCATTTGATGGTCATGCCTAGGAAGTTACTGACTCTCTTCAAAGATAGAATTTTCTTCTTCATGTCTTTAGTGAGTTCAACCGATCCATACTTATCAGGGTGTTTATCTTGATTTTCAAGGATCAGGACTGGCAACATACCATTGTCCTCAGGCATATCTTTTCCCTTAAGGATGCGACACAAAGCTGTTCTCGCTTCAGACCAGCATCGACCTGAACAATAGAGGAAGCGTAGCCATAGGAGATGCGAAAATGGCTACTTGCAACCTTGCAGCCCATAAAGTTCATCAACTAGCAATGTTTGCTTGAAGCTGTGGGAATGCATGAATTAATCATTATATGGCGGACAGCTTGTACTAAATCAAGTTCATCACCATCGCCATCGCCATCCTCATCGTCATTGCCATTGATCATTTCCATCATCACCATCATTGCCATCATTGCCATCATCACCATCTTCATGAGCACTGGAGTTGCTGCTGTTGTGATTTGATCTCCTTGTTGCGTCGTTTGGTTTCAGCATATTTGGCATGGGCGGATTGACGTCGCTCCATATAATATCAATAGTGATATGGGTGGATCGCAGTAGCACTATTAAGTATATCATAAGGAGGAGGAGAATTTTCATTGGAATCTAGGTATGCTTTGAGCTCTCGTTGCGCAACAAGCAACCATTCCTCACAATCATCCAGGCTAATAGATTCCAGTTTTTTTTTTTTGCTTGGTCTTCCAGTTCCAAAACTCTGTTGAGAACAAATGCAGCAACCAGCATTACGTATCTCTGACTTGGATTTGGAAAAGCTTTCAGCGGGATTTTGTAAAATTAGAGACATTGTAGCCTGCTTGCTTACATGTGTCCTTGTAGGTTTGCCAACGAATAATAGGAATAAGATCACCGGCCTCCTTATTTGTCCGGCTGCTGGCAAAACTACATAGGGGGATCACTGTTGTTGGCTAACCGCACTTCATTTCCCACTTCATTTTGATAGCGATTTTGAGAAAGGAGACACTAGCTAGCTATACTACTATAGTTCCGTACTTCTGAATGGGAAAATTGCTACGATAGGTAGCTGTTGGTTAACATTGTAAGATTTAAGGCAGGAAGGTTCGGTCTGAGGCCGGCTTGAATCTTTTTACACACCGCTAGCTTACATTCTGAATGTGTCACATCCAGCTCGCAATAAAGCACTCATCTTCCGTACGACGTATCGTGGTACCCCTTGCCACCATGGTAAGTGTCCTTTTAGAAGCATATCAGGGATCAGAGAATGTTACTAACAGGATGAGTAACGGAGGACTGGCGACGGAAGCTGTGGCTTGTAGTTACGGCAACTGTGTCAGGTTCGGTGAAAACAAGTCAAAGTGGTCGAACTAGCCATCGACCAAGAGTTGAATCTCTCAGTCTCCCATAATCGAACTTCGAAAGTCACCAAGGAAGCCTGCAGTGAGTCTATTCCTAGTATGGAAGGCTTCGTTTAAGACTGGGCAATTGGATATCCGGATCGTTGTGCTGCTTCAACAATTGAATTAAGTCCAATCTGGAAGCAAGAAGAGTTCAGTGGGGATGGGGCCCGTCAACTCATCCTCTAGATCGAGATAGTACACTGGTGCAAAGCATAGTAACACCCAGCTGACAACCTTACACTGAATTTTGGAGCAGGCCTAGCTGCCCAACTCCTTCCACCTCATGCCTGGCAACCAACATGCATCATAACAGCAGCATGCCTGTGGCATCCAAACAGCCTGCCCCAGGTCATATTCATGGCCTTTAGGATCTTGGTGTACAACATAATGCGTCAATTTCCAGTTAGTAGCACGCTCACTTCGAACTACGTTTAAAGCCGGGTAAACATTTAGAGACAGATTTTGCTAGCTGGCTGAACAGTTACACCCACAGTCCTTGACCGAGCAGGTTACAACAAGAACTGGATCTTCATTTGCATTGCAAAACCATGGACAAAGCTCCATTGGAAGACTGTCATTCAAAGCATTCCGATGCAGATAAACCGATGTTAGGTTTGATATGAGACCCAACTCTGATGGCACATGACCTGAAAGGAAGTTTGCAGACAGGTTCAACTCTTCCAGATAGACCAAGTTCCCAAGCTCTGAGGGGATCTCTCCAGTCAACCAGTTGTTGTATAGATAAAGCTGGAACATAGTTGACAGTTGACCCAACTCAGAAGGAAGAGGTCCTGCAACGGCAGTGCTGTGGATGCTGAGCAGTTGCAAGGAAGAGAGTGAGCCCAGTTCCGAGGGCAGTGTGCCAGACAAGCCTGAGTTGAGAAAGAGACTCAAAGAAACAAGGTAGGATAATGATGACAAAGAGCTTGGTATTGTCCCTGATAGCAGTAAGTTGCGTGAAAGATCCAATTCAAACAGTACTGGCAACAACCCAAGCTCCGGAGGAATAGTTCCAGAAAGGCGATTGGATTGCAAGTCCAGATGTCTCAGATTTGTTGCATTGCCCAGGGTGCTTGGAATGGTGCCAGAAATGGCACATGCCCCCAGAAACAAGGACCAGCATGTTGTCATCAAACCAAGTTCCGACGGCAACGTTCCTGTGAGAAGTCGATTTCCAAACATTAATACTTGGCTCAAATTAGACAGGGCATATGGGCTTGACAGAGGCTTGATCTGGCCAAACTCTGTTGGGATTTGACCTGAGAGTTCATTGAAATTCAAACCTAGAGACCCCACTTCTAAGTTGCCAATCTCGCTGGGAATGCTTCCTGAAAGAGAGTTTCGAACAAAACTCATAATTCCAACAACGTAGCCTAATATTGGGGGTTCTGTTCGGAATCGAAATTGGCCAATTTCTGTCGGAAGAGATGAGTTGAGTGAGTTCAATCCAAAGCCAAGAAGATCCAAAGTGGACAAGCGGAACAGTTCACTAGGGATTGGGCCAGACAACAGGTTTTCCGAAAAGTCAAGGGTTTCAATGGCAGGCAGTTTGCCAATCTCACTTGGCACAAATCCAGTAAGTGAATTACCACTTAAGTGAACTAAGACCAATCTGGAAAGCAAGGATAGCTCGCTCGGGATTTGCTCTGAAAATAGATTTCTGCTAAACAGAAAGGTCCCACAAGATGTCAGATGACCAATCTCCGTTGGCAAGGGTCCTGTGAGTTGATTGTCCCACCCCCAAAATGCTCCCAGGTCTGTCATGGATATGAGCTGGCTTGGGATTTTTCCAGTGATGAGGTTCTGAGAAAGCTGTAACCAAGAAAGTTTCTCAAGGTTTCCAATCTCAGTTGGAATGGTTCCTCGAATTGAACTGTCTTGCAGTGTCAGGTGCAACAAGTTCGATAGCACCCCAATGGTTGTTGGTATGGTAGACTCCAACGAGCAGCCATCCAGATTCAGTGTTCTGAGACCCGTGGCATTTGACAAGTCAGGAATCGGACCAGAGAACTTGTTGCCTTTTGAGATCAAATGCTCCAGATCTGTCAATAGGGACATCTCGCTTGGTAGATTCCCGATTATCCCATGATAGGAAATTAATGGCTCAAGATAGTCTAGGGTTGGAGTGTTCAGTCCCAAGTGAGTCATACGGCTGAGTTGCCCTATTGCCGTTGGAAGGGTACCAGACATGAATGTGGTCGTCATTCGTAGAATACTCAGGTTTGTCAATAGACCGAGTTCAGATGGAATGGTGCCTTCTGTAGGGGATACAATGACAACGAATTCTTCTAGCTGAGGCATTGCCCCAACTTCGGTTGGAATTGAAGACAATGTGCTGTCCAAGAGGGTGAGCATATTGAGTGCTGGCAAGCTGAATAAGACAGTTGGGAATTCAGTCTCATTCAAAGTGAGGCTAAAGCTCAGGGATTCCAGGGCAGACATCTGGCTCAGTTCATTGGGAATAGTTCCGGTCAAGCTGTTGCTTGCAATCCGGAGTGTCTCCAATGCAGTCAACTTCGTCATAGATGCTGGAAAGGTGCCAGATAGAACGTTGTCATGCAAATTGATGGATCTTACGTGGGAGAGAAATGACACATCCGGAATTGTCCCAACTATCATGTTGGTGTCGAACGCAATCGTACCCAATTGCGTCATCTGGCCAAACATTGAGGGGAGCAGATCTGACAACGAATTGTTTCCTAGCTGGCAATTTTGGATAAGAATTGCATCCAACTGGGAGAGAAGGCTCAGTTCAAGCGGCATGGAAACATCAATATCTCCCAAAAAGGACAACGACAGAGTCGTGAAGCGTTCATCTTCCGAGCAAGAAGAGATGTTCTCTTGCTTCTCTTGGTTCAATCCAACAAACAGTCCATCCGATAGTTGCGAAGAGTCAACATAATTGGCCGAATACCAGTCACACTCGTTTCTGTCATACAAGAGCCAATCATCTTGGATAAGTTTTGGCCATTGTTCGCCTCCAAAGGCATAAAAGAATGTGACGAGCGCAAAGAGCTGCTTCTTCCTCCATTCTGGCATTGTATTCAAATCCGGGTGTTCCGCAAGCCAGTTGTAAGCCTTTGTCTGGGCAGAGCTCGGATTTTGCAAGGCCAACATTGTGAATTCTGGTAGGTCCATGAGGAGTGCTGTCGGTGCACCACTAGGAGACAATGACGGTTCCGGTGATTGCGGTGTTTCGTCGTGGACGGAGACCTGGTCTTCTGTAGTAGCAATGATAGAAGTTTCAGCATTTCGACCAATGGTAAGGACCAATGCCGCCACGATTCCACCAATGAGCAAGAGAGTGACAATCAATAGCAGAAGTAGGACTCGACGGCGCTTCATTTCGGTTTCTTGTTTGAGTCTTTGGCGTCGAATGAGATCTTCTTCGCTCAGTGCTGTGGCTTGCTGCAAGTCAGTTTCTTGATCTTGAACGGGCCGGGCATGGACAAGGTTGTCCTCATTGTCATGGCTGGATGTGTTTCTTTGCTGTGTCGCTGTTTCTTCATCATCTAAGGCCAACAGGGACTGATGTGTTTCGTTATTAACCAGAAGGGCCTGTTGGTCCCTTGCATTTGCAGCACTACCGCTCTCGTAGCTGTCGCTGTTGTCGCCATTGTCGCTGTTGTCGTCCTCTGCGAGATTGACAGGATTGGGATAATGCGCATGGGGTTCGTGCATTGTGCCCTCTTCAACATCTGATTGGATGCTTTGGTATTCCTGCTGGTCTTCGTCCTCCTCAACCCTTGCCCTGCCGGTAACAACCGGTGGCAAGGACCGGCGTAGCGGTGCCGTCTTTTCCCTGAATTCATGAGGGGTTCGTTGAAGGCCTCTCACATGTTTGTTTCCAGCATTTAAACTGGTAGATGTGGAATCATTGTGAAAAGACGTGCGTAGTGGTGCCGTCTTTTCCCTGAATTCATCAGTGGTTCGTTGAAGGCCTCTCACATGTTTGCTTCCAGCATTTAAACTGGTAGATGTGGAATCATTGTGAAAAGACGTGCGTAGTGGTGCCGTCTTTTCCCTGAATTCATCAGTGGTTCGTTGAAGGCCTCTCACATGTTTGCTTCCAGCATTTAAACTGGTATACAAGGAATCATTGTGAAAGGACGTACGTAGTGGTGCTGTCTTTTCCCTAAATTCATCGGGGGTTCGTTGAAGGCCTCTCACATGACTGCTCCCAGCTGGCTTTGAACTGGTAGACGAGGAATCCTGTCTCTGGTGTGAGCTTGAGTTGGATTCCTCTACTTCTTTCTCATCTTCTTCATGGAAAGAAGGGACCAGCTCTTCTTGCATACTACCTAATGCTCCACCTTCTTCCAACGAATCCACGTCGACTGTTGCTGAGTTGAAACAAGCCTGGAAGGAGGAGATCGAGCCGCCGCCATCACCTGCAACGAGAGCCGCCCCAGCTTCTCTCGTGGTAGCATCAGTGTCGAGCTCCGCACGGACATCCTCCGAACGGACATCTTCCTCCTCATTGTCGATGAAATAGCACGGAATCCTTCGCCCTGGTGGCTCCATTGTTGATGATATGCTCTAGAGATCTCGTTTGTTATTTCGCCGCGTAATAGTAGAGTGCCGATACACACACCGATATCTAAATTTTGTGGTCTCAGCTTTGACACTCGATCTTTCGGTCGCTTCTTCGGTAGCAAGTGTGTACGCGGACAATGAGCGATGCGCTCTCAGTTATTAAAACACTCAATTTCAGGGAATTATTTGTGCATCCTCGTAGGTACTGGTACTCAGAGATTTAAATCACAACATGGCTCAGCCAGGATCACGTCTGGGGGATGCAGGAGCAAACGTTATGAGCGATTCATTCAGTTAACACTCAATTTCAGGGAATTATTTGTGCATCCTCGTAGGTACTCAGAGACTTAATTCACAACATAGCTCAGCCAAAATCACGTCTGGGGATGCAGGAGCAAACGTTATGCACCAGTTTTGTTAACTCGCGCGCATGCTTCGTCCTCAATGTAGTTTGTGAGACCTTCGCACGCGACCTAATCCACTCCGGTTTGCGGGCCAACACTCTCAACAACACACATCTGCTGCTACTGTAGCTAGGATCAGGCACTACTAGAAGGAGGAGTCAAGAATGTGGGCGTTGAAGCAGCTTGTCAGGTTAAGGTGATTGAAAGTCACACCACAAGATTGGGGTGATTGCTTGCAATTTGAACCTACTGATTCCAAATAATTCCCCACAAGATATGCCTACACGCATTCGTGTGCCAGAGTGTACCTGCCGGCAAATAAATTGACACAGGAGGCGCAGCCCCACCACCATTAGAAGTGACTCACCCTTGGGTCCTGTTGCCTATATGAGTTCATTGCCTGTAGATATTCAACGGGGTAAGCCTTGTAGGGCGGGATTGCGGGATAACCAAACTGCTTCTCACAAATCGTGCCCATCAGAGAGAATGACTCCAAAAAGGGGGAATCTCGTGATTACCCCATGTGAAGGTTCACTACATGGGCCGGCCTGGGCATTCCGTAGAACATTCTCAGTTGAATTTGTCTACGGCTTGGAAGCTTGAAAGAGGAGCCACAGTAGCTAGCTAGCTAGAATAGATCCACTCGTCGATGCCGAGGCTGAGGAATGTTGCCCGTCCCGAGGGAAACAGACTAGCGAGGAACACGAGGTGGGGGAACAAGGAGACGGTAAATGATGACAAACGGGTTGATCTTTTTTGACAGCATATTATCAGCTAGCCAGTAGAGTATCAACTCCGTAAGCCAAACCAAATCGTGAATGTCCAATACCAGCCAATTGCAACCTTTCCTACAGCATGTAGAAGCTGAATGTGTGCGTTTTCCCCTTCATAAACCTTCTCTTTGTTCATCCACAGGGCCTGTATCGGGCAATCGAAGAAACTGAACGACAAATTCGACATTGTCTGTCAGTGGAGCCACTTCATGAAACACGGTCGGTTCAATGATTCCCGGTGTTTCTGGATCCAATTCAAAAATTTCCGCGGGAGTCTCGTCATTATTTTTGCCATTGATCTGATACCCCAATTTGCCTTGTGTCACCTTGATGATGCCCCACGTACCGTCTTTGGTGGAATGGTTCTTGAGCAGTCCCTTGGGGATGTTGTCGCCAGCGGCTGAAAAGACACCATTCTTGGGCACTTGGCTGTACTTGACCACGTCTTCCGGAAGATCCTTCATAGCGAACATGGCTGTTGCTGTTGCTATTGGATTGCCATAATGATAGTGGCACGCCCTCGAATCGACTCGACTGACTCCAATAAAAGCAGCATCCGCATGCCACACGAGAATAGTCAGCGTTGCGGTGGCAATCGCGAAGATTGCTGGTCTCATGACATTCAACATTTCTGCTGCTTTTTGTAGCCTTTTGCTGGTATTCTTTCCAAGCTAGCTATTAGACGGGGAGTAGGAGCAGACTGATTCAAGTTTTGCCTTCCTGGACTCTAAGTCTACGGTATGTGACCGCCTTGGGTTTGCTGGTGGGCATAGACTACCTGTAGTCTACATCGTGATCACTCATGATCTTCAAGGTTCAATCTTCATGAACCGTACCAGGTCGCTCCATCCTTCATAGATCTTTGGATCTTTTCCAAAGCCGGGATTCCTTGTCGTCACTCGATTGAAACCATTTTGTGACATCATAAGAACGTAAGAGAAACCAATCGAAGCTTTGACATGAGCTTCGAAACGTGTGCGTCCAAATGGTCAAGCCGCACTGGGACCCACGCTCCCGCCAAAAGCTCACAATCTCCAACTCGAGAAACACAAAACAATCACCAAAGCAAGCAACAAGTCTGTTTTAAGAAGGCAGACAAACACAAACTATCACTCAAAAAGAAGAACAACAGAGTATTCGAAAGAGCAAGTCAACCATCATGTCGACGGATACTACCGGTACCACTGCCAACAACAGCAAAGAGCATATCTCCTTGGTTGTTACTGGCCATGTGGATGCCGGAAAGTCCACCACGGTCTCCCACCTCATCTACAAACAGGGAGGCATTTCGGAAAGGGAAATGGCAAAGTTACAACAGGAGGCAGCTGAAAAGGGCAAGGCATCCTTTGGCTTTGCATACTACATGGACCAAGGAAAGGAGGAGCGCGAACGTGGAGTCACTATCCAATCCAGCACCAAGGACTTTTACACGGACAAGTACCACTACACAATAGTGGATGCTCCAGGCCACAAGGACTATATCAAGAACATGATTACTGGCTCCTCCTCTGCAGATGTTGGACTCCTCCTTGTGCCAGCAGAGAAGGGTGGATTTGAGGCTGCCATTGCCAAGGCTGATCCCAAGATGGGTGTAGAAGAAGGGCAAACCCGCCAACATGCACGGCTCTTGTATCTCTTGGGTGTGGAGCAGATCATTGTAGGTGTCAACAAGATGGACTCTTGTGGTTGGTCTGAGGAGCGCTTTGAGGAAATCAAGACTGAGTTTGTCAAAATGCTCCAGTTGATTGGTTTCAAGCCAAAGAAGGTGCCATTCATTCCATACTCTGGATACAACGGTGACAATCTAGTGTCAAAGAGTGACAAGGCTCCATGGTACAAGGGCTGGAAGGCCAACTTGAGCCCAAAGGTTACCGTGCAAGGCTACACAATTCTGGATGCCCTTGACAAGTTCATTCAGCCACCCAAGAGATTGCCCAATGCTCCACTGCGTCTTCCAATCTCCAATATCTACAACATCAAGGGAATTGGTCAGATCATTGCAGGAACAGTTGAACAAGGTACTCTGCACCCAGGGGATGTTGTTGGTATTGCTCCTGCTGGCCTCAGTGGAAAGAAGGTGTTTTCCATTGAGCAACACAAGAAGATCATGGATGCTGCTGGTCCAGGCAACTCTGTGGGAATGTCCATCAAGGGAATTGGCAAGGATGAGAAAGTATCTCCTGGTGACATTATCTATCTAGAGAAGGAAGGCACCCTCAACCCTGTCAAGTCATTTACCGCCACAGTTGCTGTGCAGGAGCATCCTGGCATCCTCAAGCCTGGCTACACTCCCATTGTATTCTCCCGCACTGCCAAGGTGGCTTGCAAGATGACCAAGATTCTGTGGAAGCAGTCCAAGAAGACTGGTGGACAAAAGGTTGAGAACCCACAAGAGCTGCAGCAGTTTGAGACTGCAGAGGTTGAGTTTGTCCCCAATGCACCCTTGTTTTTGGAACCTTTTGACAAGGTTGCAGCTATGGGCCGCATTGCTGTGATGGACAGCAACCGCCTCAAGATGCTTGGCAAGGTCACCTCTACCACAGAAGCCACCAGCAGATGACATGAACAACAAAGCAAACAGGTTGGCTACATGTAGAATGTCGCAACTGGAGGGAAAGAAACTGCAAGAAAGTATCAAGTGAAGCAGAAAAACAATGTAAAGAAAGGATAAACCCGGAGAAAAGGACTTCTGAATATGCACCACCAAGCTAGCTAGCACCAATATATCCCCGCAGTAGCAGAACTGTAGGACCAATCCATTTAAAAGAAAATAAAACCAATGACTTCAACCCAACCAAGTGCTCTAGCTAGATATAGATGCCGGTACGGGAGATCCTACTTGGACGAATCGGATCGTATCAGCAGCGGTTGCATCCATCATACCAACGAAGCAACTACAGAAACACGAAAGAGAAGTAGACCATCCTTTTCAAAATTCAAAAATGGATGCATAAAGTTAAAAAGTATGTAAATCTAGACTACTGCCACCCCTCGCTCGAGATCCTTCTTTGTTTCGTCCACCTGTGTGGTCGACGTTTCCCTCCCTTCTCATGCATTGGTTCACCTGAAACTCGTGCATGCATTCATGCATTATCGGCTCTTGAGGTACTTGGCCAACATTGTATTCAATTCTATCCGATTGAGAGGCTTGGTGATGTAATCATCACATCCCGCGTCGAGACACTCTTCTCGGTCCCCCGCCATGGCAGCCGCCGTGACGGCAATAATGGGAATCCGTTTCCGATTCTCCGTGGCTTCAATCTGCCGTATCTCGCGTACCGCTTCGATGCCATCCATGACGGGCATTTCCTTGTCCATGAGAATGATATCGTATCGCAATGCCAAGTCGGATTGATACTTGGCAATGGCGACATGACCATTTTCGGCCGTTTCGGCTTGACATCCCATGCGTGTCACGAATCGTTCGGCCAATTTGAGATTGACTCGATTGTCATCCACCAGTAGGATGTTGCCGATCAACTTTGGGACGTTGGATGCCGATCCCACGGCACCACCGCTTGCGTTTTTTGCGGGCGCAGCCGCCGGAATGATTTCGGCCGGTGCGTAGGGAATGGTGAATCGAAATGTACTGCCGTGATCTTCGGGTTCTACGGAAGTCTCGAGAGAGATTTCACCTTTCATTTTTTCGACCAGTTTCCGGGCAATGGCCAATCCGAGTCCAGTCCCCCCAAGCGTACAAGCTCCCTTGTCGCCGTGGGCTTGTCGAAAGGGTTCAAAGATATCTTGTTGTCGATCGGGTGGGATCCCAATGCCCGTGTCAGAGACACTGAATTCGAGCATCCCTCCGACAGTAGGTCGCATCAACAACTTGACACTGTATTCGACCGTACCCTTGTCACAAAACTTGATAGCATTGGAGAGCAAGTTGTTGAGGACTTGCTGCAATCGATTGGGATCCCCGACAAGGGAATCTTGAATGCCCTTGATGAGTACGGGTTCTCTGGAGGATGTTTGCTGCGACGTACTAGTAGTGGAACTACTAGAACTAAAGTTCTTTTGTGTGCGAATGGTATTTGGCGTTTTAAAGCAAATATCATTTCCTTCCTTTCTGGATAGTACACCACAGGCATTGTATTCTACCGTCTTGAGCATTTCTCCTAATGAAAAGACTTTGTTTTCCAATTCCAATTGTCCTGCTTCAATCTTGGAGACTACAAACATCATGGAGAGAATTGAGAAGAGGTTAGTTAGTTGGATGGCACAATCGTTCATTCATTCGTTCATATCAATCCATCCAAGAGTACTCACTATCCAGAATATCATTAATCAGTGTCAATAACAATTTGCCACTGTTTTGAATGGTTTCGAGATAATCGCGATGTTCTTCGGGAATGGTGGCCGTTTCATCGACGAGCATGAGATCGGTAAATCCAATGACGGCATTCATGGGAGTTCGTATTTCATGACTCATATTGGCAAGAAAGGCGGATTTGAGTTGATCGGCTTCTTTGGCTTTGGTAGCGGCCGCTTTCAAATCGACTTGGGCTTGTTTGAGTTCGGTAATGTCTTGGACGGTTCCAATACTCCGAACCGGATTGCCATGGGCGTCGTATTCCGATCGACAACTTTCCATGACCCATTTGGGGGTGGATGAATCGGAGGACGATCCGGGCAATAAAAGTCGGTGAACGACTTCGTAGGGTTGTCGGGATTCGAGATGTTCGAGATACGTTTGATTGACCATATCTCGATCGTCCGGATGGATAATGTTGAGAAAGGATTGATAGCTATGATCAAAATGAGTGGGATCATCCATTTGAAACAGTCGATAGGATTCTTCCGACCAATGGAGTTTGTTTTTGGTCAAATCGAGTTCCCATTGTCCCAATTTGGCAATCGATAAGGATTCCTGGAGACGACGGGAATTGGCTTCCAGGGCATCTTGGACTTTGCGTTGGGACGTAATATCTCTGCCATTGGCCATGATCATCATACATGTATTGGTATGTGTTGTACTAGTAGTGGTAGTTCCAGCCCAACAGAACCATCGATAAGTCCCATCGTAACACCTAAGTCGAGCTTGCCAACAATCCGTGAGCATCTTGGTGAGATCGAGGGTATCTTCCGGATGCAGCAAATCTTGAAAGCAAAGAGTAGACAAGAGTTCCTCTTTCGATGGATACCCAAGAATCCGTAGCCACGCCTTGTTGATCTTGTGGAATCGGAGTCTACTTGTTGTAGTTGTTGTGCTTGTAGTATTGCTTGTGGTAGTGTCATGCTTGCCTTCCATCTCACTGGTATCCAACCCGGCGGAACTTTGGGCTCTCTCTTCTGTGGTCGCCGTTGGCTCTTCTAACATGGTGCCCGTCAAAATGCAGAGCAAATCGCGGGATTCTTCAAAGAATAAATCGCTCTCTTTCATACTACTGCTCATCGTTCTATTAGACTCTGTAGCAATGGTAGCAGTGGAATGGCTCATGGTGGACATGGCTCTGGTGATTGATAGATAATGGTAGATAATGGTATCAGGTGGATAAGGGTATAATGAGGATAATGGCGCTACTACCCAACGAGCTAGGTTCTACCTCTAGATGATACCGTCTATGGAATCTGATGGGGCAAAGCGAAGCGTATTATTGCCTTGGTGTGATATATGATGTGGTGGTTAACGAGGTCCTTGTAGAGGGCAGTTTAGCCAGTTGGTTGTGTTTGTTGTGAAAGTCTACTAGCTAGGGTGGAAAGAAAGCAGTGAAGAGCCAACTGCCTGTCAATCCAAGCAGAATAGCATCGGTTGGCTTGGCTTGGGTAGATCGATCCAGTCCCCCATTTCTGTAGCAGGGGCGAGGAAAAGCTATTTTAAAATACTTCCGTGTGACCAGCAGAACATCGATTTAACATTCTATTCACTCAATCTGGGATGAGAATCACCCCAAGAATCAACTATTATTGCCCATTAGATCACCAAAAGGATCTGTTCGGTTTTGACTCAGTTACGTCATTTATCAATTATGGGACACTACTGTTACAGGTTATCTGAAGAAAGCCAGAATACGAATGATATCTAAAGCTTTCCGATACCCTAACGACTGATAAGTAACTCTTGGCAACTGATACGAACTCTATGCAGTCCGCAATTAGAATGGGCAGTTAGATTGACAGAACTGTTCCTTAAGAACGTCACTAGACTAATAATAATTAATAGTAGCTGTGGCAGGTGACCTTCCACAAAAGGAGGAAAAGAACTGATGCACGAACCCTACGGTAGCTGTGCCATAAGTACACTCATACAGTACAAACTTTGCACAGTTACAGTATTGAGTGATTGAGTGGCAAATTCAGTGCAGCCCTGGAGGGGAAACCCTGCAATACGTGCCACACTGAGACGAGAACGACGAGTATGATCACCACTGTCCCCGTTGCGGCGGTGATCATGAGACTGAGACCCATGTGTACAGATGCCCGCATGTTGACGTGGATTTGTGGCGAGGGACCATGCAACGAGCGATCAGCACAAAGTTGCGCAAGGATTCCACAGACCCCTTCCTCCTGGAAATTGTTCTGGATGGGCTTCAATATCACTTTGAAGATCGATTCCTCCATCCGTGGCATTACCCAGCACGGTATAGAGATCTTGTTGCTCAAAATCTCATTGGTTGGGACAACCTCATGCGGGGACGGCTGGCCAAGCAGTGGGCCAAGCACCAGGATGCCTATTTGCATCGGGTCGGTTCCAAGGAGACCACCAAAACCGGACAGCTTTGGGTCACCAACCTGGCCTCACTGCTCATCCAGCAGTGGTGGAACCTGTGGGAAGATCGCAATGCTGCCAGGCATGGCAAAGACAGGGAAGACCAGTGGAAGAAGAAGCACGAACAGCTTCAGCGGGAGGTGGAACTCATTTACGAGAAAGCGGATCTGATCCCAGCGGAGCTGGTGGATTTTATCTTCAAGCGACCGCTTGACGAGCAAATGGCAAAGGCCCCATGCGACATCAAAGCGTGGCTTGCCAATTGGCTGCCCGTCGTCGACAAGGCACTCAGGGACGAGCATGCACGCACCGTGCAGAACAATGACACAGGGTAACCACGCACAGAGGGGGTCTTACCGTAGAAATAGATGGCAATCCAGCCAAGGGTAGTTAGTTAGCTGCAAAGCACCCTTCGGAGTTTTTAAACTTCTCCGGTGGGGGGCTTGCACTAGGCCGGTTCCTATGTGGGCGTCCTTGTACGTCTGAGGTACTCCGGTTCAATAAGGCTCCGTTCAGCGGGTGGTCTATTGAGGTGCAGCCTAAATAATAAAACTTCGTTATTCTTTCGGGTATCCTGCCATTTGCATTGTAGTATGTATGGTACCTGGCTGGCTGCTGTTCGTACTGTCTAGGTAGGTATGCATTTGGATCTGTCGCTTTGGGCAAGCGACCGCAATGTGTGACAGCAATGCTGATGTGTTGCCAAAGCAATCCACTTGACCCAGCAAACAGCTCAACAAAGGAATAGTCTTCCTTGACCTTAGGAGAGCAGAGTTTTGGCTAGATCCTCGGTGCGAGCCGAGTCCTTTTGTTTGTGTGAGAAGGTTCCAGAGTCGGAGTTTGCCTTGTACCTTTCTCTTGGTGCAGGTAAGGTAAGTATCGTACCGTATTGCAGCCAGTTGCACTTTTTTGGGCGTTTGTTGGTTGCAATATTGTTCGCGTGGTCACCTTTGCTTGCTTCTCCTGCCTTCTTAATTCATGCCGGTACGTACTTCTTTTCTGCTGCTGCTTGATCAATGTCATTTCGCTCCAAGGGTATCAACGTCATTTTGCGTCAGGGGTACCGGTACCGGTACCGTTGGAAAAGCAGACATTTGTTGTTCATCGCACCAGCATTGCAGCCATTCTTGAAAAACATAAAACTGTGAAGGTGCGATGCAGCCCTCAAGTCACTCCCACGGTACCAGGTACGGTCACTGGCTCGACTCGACTCCCGCTTTGCACTTATTGTTCCGCGATCCACCATGACTGAACCATTTGATCAATCGAATCATCGCCCGTTCCAGGTGAAAAGAGCGAAGACACGACGACGACAACGATGATGCTGCCGCTGCAGCCACCCGCCACTGCTGCTGAAGGTTGTATCCAGGATATCGCTATCTGCCCTTGAGGTGGTGCATGAGCTAGCTAGCATTCAAGTTGATCAATCCTCGAGGGTGGTGACGCGTTGCCTACTTTTTCAATCAGGGTAACATTGAAGGATTTAGGTTGGGCGAAATCCAGACCCCAGTCCAATCAAGAAGTCCCTATCAGAACAACTAGTGGCACAATGTGGTGGCTCCAATTACACTTCTTCCCATAAGCGAAGGATGGGTCTGGAAAAAGCAGATTATCTGGCAGAAACATCTGAAAGAGCGAGAGTTTCGAGACTATGTAGCAGCACCAAGCGCCCCAGAAACTCTGTTGAATGTACCGTTTCCCTCCACCAGACTATAGATCAGCTGCGAAAATCCCATGCAAGGAGTCACTCCACCCCTTCCAAGAAGCTGAAGAAGCTGCAGAGCCTTTAAAAATACAAAGAAAGAATATCATCTTCTGGATCTCGTACACTAGCAAATACTCCACTACAAGCCACCGTCTAGCCATTTACAGCAATGCACTGCATCGTAGCGGTCCCTCCCCGTTGTTCTCAGTCTGAAAGAAACCTTGAAGAAAAATGGTTGTTTGTTCAACCGGGAGAAGTTGCCGACAAACCTTCCATACCGGCTCGGTCTAAAACAACTGGGGGAGTTTCGAAGGCCCATGTCGACTTGCCAGGAAGCCGAAGCAGTGATCTGAATCGCGGGCGAAGAGAGGTGTTAGCACTCTAGAGAAGCAAAGGAGCTTCTTCGAGATGTGGCAGTTGCACTTTGATCTGTTTCGGAAAAAACCAAGGCATTGACAAAGCCTTGCAGCGCCTGAATAAAGTGATGCCAGCTATAAATTTGGATTGTTTGATGACTTGAAGGAGTAATACGGGAAGAGTACTTGGGTTTGGGTCAACAACTTTGAAGAGAACCAACGTCATGGAAGTGACAATGATAACAAACGCAAGGCCAATGGTCCCCCTGTGGCCATGACAAGCTGAAACAGGGGTGGACCTGCTCCGATACAATCCTCTTGGCATCACACAGGATAGTCTCCAATCCAACAATCTCCGAGTAAGTGGGGTTCATCGTTTGAATGGCTGCGGCATGGGCTCCAGTGACAAATGGGGTGACAAATGGCTGCGAAATGCATCCATGGCTCGCAGTGGCGTACAAACGGACCGTATAGGCATGGTCATTCCAAAGCAAATTCTGTATAGAAAACAAAAGGGCGAGAAAGGCACTGTAGCTTGTAGGAACTTCCCACCTGAAATGTATTGAAGAATGATGAATCCTTGTACAGCTGCTGTACGGCACACCAATTGCACCACTTCTGCAAACTGGTACGTAGTACTTTTGATCTTTGAGTAAAATCCAAGCAATCAAAAAGGTCCAGCTCAAGGAGGCAATGTGATAACTTGCACTCAGACCCAACATGATGCACTGAAATCGGTGTTTCACGTTGCGGCCGCCGGTACAAATAGACCAAACAATGTCCCCCCGGCCGACAAAGGGGCGCTCAAGTAGTGCAAGTACGCTAAGATTGTTGCCTGACGGTCAGGCGTTGCTCTTCTTCACCACCCACAGTCGTGTTGTTGCCCCGATCCTCCCTCAATCCTCAATGCTCGGCCAACGATCGATCAACGCTTGTACCGTATTAGAAGGAACCAAAGTTTCTTCCTCGGTGAAGATAATATGCGAAACGTTGTGGTGCTGTGATACCCATGCTTTGGAGAAGTCTTTAGATAGGCAGAGTATTGAATGGTCGTATACAGTCTATTCTTTAGTATGTTACAGTGTATGTGTGTGTATAGCAGATATAGTCTATTGTTCATGTCTGTGCATGTTCCTCTGTGGCAAGTACGATCAGGTCCAATCTGTATCATTCCCTTGTGACAGAGAGGCGGGGGCAGTAGGTACTCTTTTGGCTTGGCTCAGTTGCTCAGTTACCCCCCTGGGAAAGGGAATTTCTTCGTACGGGTCTCTTTGGGAGAGCCTTGGATGTCTTGCAAGCAGCGCAGTCCCCTTCCTCCCAGCGAGATGCACTACTGTCGAGTTCTTCGGTGCTGCTTTGCTTTTGAGCATGGTAAGAGCATCTTGCAGTGCGGCGTCCTCCTCTTCGAGTCATTCTTCTGCTGGAACCAACTCTTCTACTGTTGCTCGAGAGGCTGTGAGACGACGTGGAAAGACGGCTGGAATCATCCAAAAGGGCATGGCCAAGGGCATTGTCATCCACAATCAGAACAACGTTGGTGTTTGCAAAGGGAAGAAACGAGTTCATGGTGATGTGATGTGAAATACTTTTAGCTGTGTCTCTGGAAAATTTAATTTTATGGAAACCTGAAGGAGGAAAAAGGGTGAGCTCAGAAATCGAGCAGGGAGGAGAGAGGAGAGGTTTCGTGGGTAGCTCAGATCGCTCTCTGTGGATAAAAGGCCTCGATTACCGGTATGAGGGACGGCTTTGGAGACGGAGAAGTGGCTAGTCACTAACTCATTGGGAGGAAAGCTTCGCCCTAAGCCCGAAAGGTGAAGACACCTTCACAAAGTTTAATCGGTATCCATGTTCTACAAGATCATTAAAGATGTCGACTCCCCATGAAAGCAAACCGGCAGAAACAGTTCATACAGTTCCAAGCTTGATTCTATCATTATTCTCTCCTGTTCACTTAGACCTGGTATGTTATATCCTTGTAAGGCACCTAAATCCAGCTGAAGCGTACCACTTCATGAAGTTTCGAGATTCGTAGAGAAACGTACCAGGCACTTAGTTCAAAGGACATTATTTCTACTCCCATTGACCTGTATGCCTGGACTGCTGGATTGTCAGCTGTAGAGCTGCTGTCGTCACTGTCTTTGGTCTTCGTGGCTTGTGGCAATCAAGCTTCCAATTGCCCCACTAACCACGTTGTGTCTATCAAAATCAAAAATTCAATTAGATGTCGTCTTTCCTTGTCCGAATTACTAGTAGTAAAGACTGGCAGCAATGTGCTACTATAGCTACTACTGTACTCGTAAGCTGTACTGTAATCACGTGGACAGTAGCCCTCTATAACTTCACCAACCTCTCACATTGCCGACATGGGTAGAGAAAATGCCTCCATATATCCGCCGAGCGAATGATTGCTTCGGCCACCAACAACATGTACAGTGGAGAGTTGATAACCAGCACTCCACTGGTACCAACGAAAGCAAAACCTCCGGCAACAGCTGCTTTCTATGTGCGTTTGTAGCCTCCTCTACCCAAAAAGATACGATCTACTAGTACAGTGTTTTGCATGCCCGATTCATTCCCACGCTGAGTGTGTGTTTGTACCAAGCTACGACTACCAAATAGCCACTCCGGAAATGGGATGGCTCTAAGTGCAATATAGTTGCCGGGCCACTCTAGCCAGCTAGCCAGCTATCTTGAGCGGATCTTTGGCTGGCTCTAGCTTGACACGAGAGTGAATCTTTTTGGGATCTTTTCTGGCTGGACTCGCCCGCCCTCCTGATGGCCACCAGCCAGAAACTTTGATGAGTGAGACTCGGTGGCTGCCTATCTTTGGCTTCTGGCTGCTGGTGGCTGCCAGTTCGCGGGCTGGTGGTGGTGCCCGATAGCCCAAAGCATTGCCCTTGTAGCTTGCTTGCTACATGTACAAGCAACTTGGTCACTGAGTTTCGAGCAGCCAGGCTGTTGCTGAGTTGCCGAGGTGGGATGGCTATACCGGTGTTTCCAGGTGTACCGTACAGTCGTACGCCAGCAACCAAAAGAGACATCGGTTGCAGAGGTGCATGACTTCTCTAGCTCGCGAAGTTCCGGTACACGGGAAACGCACTGTCGGACAACCCACACACCACCACCACCACCACCACTGGTTTGTCTTTCCACCAGTTCTGACTCGACTGCCTTGTTTTGTGGCCCAACAAATAGGTCGGATCTGCTGCTCGCCGCCAAAGTGAGCTTCCTGCCTGCCCAATAGGGGCTTTTCAGCGTTTTCGTGGTGGCAGACTAATAAAAGGGAGGTGCGACAAGCAAAAATTGTGCAATTTGGCTTGTCTTCGGTACGGAGCAGCTACCGTACCGGTATACTAATAGTACCGCTACGGAGGAAGATGTTGGGTTCTGCTTCCACCGCCTCGACGTAGCGGTACGGTACCGGTAGTGCCTCGACTGTCACTCCACCTATTCCGTCCCCCGCACCTTTCGGGAGGCAACCAGGTCTCGAGCATTGGATGAAAGACAAAACGCCCCCTTGGAGGACCGCGGTTTACAACTACGTCCATGCAAACTTTACTAAAAAGGCTAGTAGGACAGTATGTATCAATGGTGGTGCTAGTTTTAGTTTTCCCTTCGGTACACATGTATTTTCCCTTTCCCGCACAACCACATTGTTTTCCTCCCAGCTCGCAATCTGTCTTTGACGCAATTACTGAGAAACAGCTCGTCGAGGAACCTTCACAGACTGACCATACAACGGCGCATCGTTTTCGTCCCCAGTAACGCGTCCTCTCCTAGGAACCGTCGTGGGAGCCGGCGACACACTGCGACTAGGGCGTTTGGGGCTCGACCTCTTGTTGTCATTGGATTTGTCGGTTGTCGACAAACCCGAAGAGCAGCATCCTGCCCACCGACAGGAGTGTTGACAGCGTCCTCGCCCGCATTCTTGCTGCTCATCTTTCGTCTGCAACGTAATCTGATTTCCAAACTTTCGGGGCTTGCGCCTTGGCTGACGCGTCTTGCGCCGAGCATCGAGTTCCTTCTTTCGCAGCATATATGCGTCTTCGTGGGAGTGCCCGGCAGCATTGTCTTGGACAAGCACAATCTTAAGGGGTAGATGAAAAGTTGCCATCTTGTGAATTCAAAACTTTCTGTTTGATCGTTGCAATAGCTAGAGTTGTAAAGGAATGCTTTCCACGGTCTTGAGAGTTCAAGAAAGTGAGATCAGAATGTTGATGGATAAAACCTTTCAAGTGGTGTGAGCCTGGGCTGTCAGAAGAGCTGCTCGGAGACATCGGCGAAAGGCGTGTTTGCTACTGTAGCAACTGGTAGGTGGTAGCTGGCTGTCTAGATCCATTTGATTCCTACTATCCGGTATCCTGGCAAGTCACGACTTTTGCTTGACATGGACCTACTATTGAAATGAATTTCTGTGGACGATATCAGCATGATGACTTAGGATGGCACAAAAAACGAAGCCATCTTACTCCAGTAGTTTTCAGCATTCTCACAGTTCGTAGATTTCCGCTTTTGCCAGTTCATTAGGTGCAGGACTGTAGCTTTCATTGTACTGAATCCAGAACAACTGGTCCTTCTTGAGTGACAGGTCATAGAATGCAGGTTCCGAGTCAGTCTTCGTCATCGCTTTGAATTAAGAATGCCACAACTGTTTTTACCAGTTTGGAAAGGTAAATGACTATGTTATATCCTGAATAATCTAGTGTTCTGACGCAATCTGAAAGTCAGCTGCTGAATATGCGCCATAGACATACTTAGGAGAGATCATTAAATCTCAGCTTGTCAGCAAAAAGTTTCACTGTGACCAGAATTGAGTCACTGTAATCAGAATTGAACCAGAAGCAGAAGCCTGGGCACTACAGTTGAGAGAAACTAAAGAAGCGAACTGGGAGCAAAGGAGCACTGCACTGTTCAGTAGTTGTTCGGTTCATCACTGCATCTGCGGGTTTTCGGTGCTGATCATGTTGAATCCATCTCTTGACTCCGCTCTCGGCGAGAGCTCTCGAGCACCCTGGCTACTACTAGCTACGGAAGCTCGTCTCCTCGACAACGTTTATCCGAGGAATTGGCCTGAAGCTCAGGTGTGCCACCAGTAGCCGAGCACGGGGAATGCCGGAGCAGCGATTCTAGGGATTTGCTTGTGATTAGCTATCGTAGCCAATCCAGATGTTTGCTAGAGCTGGCTGAGTGTTGATGATGGAGAACCAAAAAAAGCTCAAAAAATGTAATTATACAGTTTACGGGTTTTTCTCTTCATTGTGAAAAGCTTTTGCTCTTTTTTTGTCTGGAAGGGATCCTCATGGGTGACACGGATCGAGTGGGTTGCCTTGGAGGCACAGGAGCCTTCTTCTTGTGTCCGTTGTTGTCCCTCTCTGGACTGCTGGAGGATTGTCCAGACCATCGACACTCATCAACCTCCCGTCCCCGCGTTGGCTCTTGCTGCCCCTTGACAATGCGCTTTTCAAAGGACCGGGGCTTCCGCCGTTTTTGCGGGCGTTGCTTCTTTGGTGGGCATATTATTCTCTCTGGTTCGTCCCGTTCACGACACAGAATTTGAAAGTCCTCTGCATGACCAGCCGGGGAATCATTTACGAGGGCACAATTGCTAAGTCTCAAGGGTAGCTGAAGGAGAAAGGCGTCCATCATTTCAAGTTGTTTGGTCGGCCTTATCATTGGTGTTGATTATTTGTTTGCATTTGATGCCTTTGTTGGATTTGTGAGAAGCTATAGCATTGTTGCGAAGCTAGCCCAGCGAAGCTTTCTTGCGGATCGGGGATGATCGTGGGTTGCTCGTAAACCTGTCTTATTAGAAAATGCTTTTTACTACATCATGTAGTCATGTAGTACCTCCCAAAGACACAGCCAAATCTTGGAATTAACAAAGGTCACTCATTCAAGAAAAAGGCGATGCCGAGAAAGAACAATCTGGATTTCTTGTACTGTAAATTCTTAGATTCCAGATGACGAGCTCTGAGATGACAAGACACTTCATGCTGAACTAAGACTTGGTCTGACTACGAACAGTTAGTTATCCGCGGTACGAAGTAGGACCTGTACCGCTTCGCTGCTGCCTCCTGTCCACGTACTCTCTATCTGCAGACCCAAGGATCTTTGCTATGCCGCGTTGTCTTCGTCCTTCTCTTTGGCTTGGCACCCTTTGGCATGACGCTCTTATGGAGATTTGCTTCTGGGGTTGGTCTTGTGGGCGGAAAAAAGAGATGTGCTCCTGCTGCGGAGGTTCGCTTGCCTATCAAAGCCAAGGGATGGTTTGGCACAAGGCATGAGGGTTCGTGACAAGAGAGAGCCACAATCTAAGGTTGTCTTTGGTGTGCTGCTGTGGCAAGGTCCCTCTTGCTTGTCTTAGATTGCAATTCCACTTTGCCTCCGAGAGTTGGGAGACCATCGAGCTGGCAGGTGGAACAAACACCCGTAGCATTTGTCCCATCCGTGCTGTGTTTGTGAGGAATTGATTCCCACACGAGTACTACTACACACTGTTTCAACCATCGTACAGCCCACACCCCGCCAAGCAGGGAATCCATTGAAACAGAGGCTGATGCACCCATAATAGTAGTTGTGCGCGATGCTCGCACAGGCATCACCGACAAGGGAAAATGCACAAGACTGCTGGAAGGAGTAAATGAGGCAATGGTTTCCAAGAAACAATAAACGAAGCAGGCAGTTCTCTGGAGCTGGCTAGGTAGATTGCGAGCTCCCTGGTATAGAGAGAGGATGTCATGTTGGTTGAAGACTCATTTCTCTACGAGTGCATTTCAATAGTATTGGCTTGGCTGCTTGTTCCGCACCCGAGACCTATCAAGCACTAGTTGCAGCACCCACGCTTCCAGCATCACAAGTTAGCACCAGCAGAGGCCACCTCGCTACCGATGGCACTACCTACGAATGCTTTGACCAAGCCGAGCCAGAAGTTCAATGCCAGCAAATGGGTCCACTTCTTTGGTATCTTCCATACTGACGGATCCTTGACATGGCCATTGATCCTGCTCCTGGTGCATTATTTGAGCAGACAACAATCGTAGCCAAGAAGTAATGCTGGAAGAGTGAATGCCTTCTCTACCGGTCGCTGCCTCGCTCTGTCTCCTCCCTGTTGTTACAAAGCACGAGGGGTTTGGTGATGCAGTTTTCAGTGTTTGGCACCATGGGCTCCTTGCGTCCAGGGAGAGGCAGGGCGGTCGACTGAATGGTTTAAAAGGGCAAAAAGAGGCAGTCTTTTCATGGCAAGGCGAGTTTTGAACAATAGATACGGTATGACATACGGTAGTTTGCGCAAATTCATAGTGTTACATACAGTGAGTTATCTATTGGTACAGCCATTGGGTCAAGTGCCCAAGGGTCGGGGTCGGCAGTCGACTAAGCTCGGCCTGGTGGCAGGGCTACGGTATAGCCAGCACATCAAAGACTGTCGGGAGTTTCCAGCGATGTACGTCGTACAGGACAAGCCGGTGGAGTGAGCATCTTATTCATGGTTTTGCTCGAGAGTCTTCGGACGGGGCGCTTGGGCGACGACTCGCGCGGGCATCCATCCCAACGACACGTACTAGAGTCCACTGATGAGGAGTGACATGAATCTTGATGATGGTGCTGCTGACAGTCACTGTGAGCAGGGCATGTAACTTTCTGTCTTGAATGGTGCTGGCTTTGAGGGCTCTTTGAGTGACTGCTGGTCATCCCATGGCCACTGGCGTTGTCCACAACGAGGACAACCTCCAGGTGTTGAATGTTAGGAATAAGAAAGGAGACATTCATCATGGTAGCTTTGATTATTCGAGTTTTCTATGTTTTGCCTTCAGAGACATTCAAAAGGTGAGAAGATGTATAATATGACACAACTGAGATGAGCCCCCCACCGAGAGCTGCCAAGAGAAATGCTGTGGCTGGAGCTTGGAGCTTGAACAGGGAATAGGAGATAGAGTTGCCGGTGTACGGTATCTTTTACATGTATCTCTTGCTTTTGACCACCAAAATCGGAGAAAACGGCACTCGAGACTCGAGAGTGGAGGCTGCAAGATAATGTAACTCAATTGCAAAATCCATGACGGTATTAGCGGCTGTACAACATGTCTACAGAAACTCAGAAACTCTGAACTGCGCGGACGGTATTAGAGGGGAAATTGTGTCCTCAACCTCCGTTTTAAGCAGCTTTTCTAACCCGTACGGCCTTACGCCGTGCAGTGACGTATGGTACAACCACTACTTGCAAGAGAAGTCCAATTTTGGACTAAACCTTCCCCTTTCTGTTTGATGAGCTGTTCAATCCATTCATCTATCTCTTTTTCTCTACTGTGAAATCGATGTAGAAGCCAAAAGTCACAGTGAAAGTGAAAGTTAGTTTGTTAATTAAAGCATTTCCAATCTCCTCCTCCTTTAGCGTTTTCTGAAGGCCGGTTGAAACGAACTTGGATTTAGTGTCAGGTTTTTTACGTTCCCATCAAGGTTCCTTTTTCCTACAGTAGTTGCATCAAAATTGTGTGCTTCGCATTCTCATGCACATTACCGGTATCACGCACAATGTCACGAACTCAAGAGCTACTCAAAGCACTCAAGCTACAGAACCTAGAATAGCTCCTAGAATTGCTCTAGACTACAGCTTCAGTCGTCTAGTAGTACATGTATGTATATACCTTTTACTCAGGAGAAGTATCAGCCTTTTTAACTTACTTTTCCACCAACGTTCCTTGAAGCATGGGGCTTTTAATTACTTTCCACTGTTCTGTTTGTTCAAGAGATTCGCTTGGTTCTTAGATCAACCAAGTAGCTTACAGCGGTCTTACAGTCTAACTCACAGAGCTCCTACGGTGCTCTTCCAGTACTGAGCTTCTCTTCTTTGGGCAGATGAAGAGGGCAGCTGCAGTTTGTAGCTTTGTAGCGGTACAGCTGCTCGAAGGGTTTTAAAGGTACCAGGTACCGGTACGATGAAGTTTTCTTGTGTGGTATCAGCAATCAGCTGCTCAGAAAATCAGCTGGTAGCTGGAGCTATGATAGTACTGTACAGTACTCGAGTAGAATAGACCATCGTTGGGAGGGTGGGGAGGCTAAGTCTATGCATGAGTCTAAGGTAAGCAATGCGTGGATGTGTTGCTAAAAGGATTAAGTAATCTAGGCTGGTCTTGGCTTGGGGTTCAAATCCCCGCACTCCGATATGAATGCACCGTTACTGCACCGCAGTGAAGATCATGGGAGGAGCGAAGCGCAGCATATGCATAGTAGCGAGCTGAACTCTACAGCTTTGAATCAATCATAAAGGCAGCCAGTTGAAGTTTTGTTCATGTGGATCTATGTTGCTATGTATTTGTTACAGGCTTGTCTAGAAATTGTCTTTTCCAAGCTCCTTATTATTAGGCGCTCCTGCTGCACACTTCTTTTGTGGGCATTGAGGCCTCCAGGGCTGCAATTGGAGCGTGCCGTGCTTCTCGTACGGGTGATGGGGAGCGAGAGGGTCGCTTGGGCATTGCCATGGCCTGAGAGCAGGATCCTTCCCACCGGCACTTCTGTTCCGCTGACTGAAGTTGCTCGTTGGTGCATTCTCTGCCGTGTCTTTGTGCTGGTCTGGATTGCCTTTGTACGCCTTGCTGTTGCTGTACTATGCAAAATCGCACGCGTTTCTTGGTTCTGGTGGATTGAGTGGAGTGGCTGCTGCCCGAATCAGACAATGGGCGAGCTGCATCTGAGTGAGTTGCGGCATTGTCTTGTACAAGGAGGATGCCGTTGACATCATGGATGTGGGATAGGTGATGGTTCATCATCATGCTTGTGTAGTGCTGTTGTAGGCCTGGATAAGTGGGGATTGACGTTTCAGGATCCAAAAATTGTGAGCCCTGAAGAATAGAACGCTCAAGCTTCGATTCCGTAGGTTTATGCTGCTAGTACCGTCATGGAAGGTCGCATCGAGGGAGCAGCATTGTTTCGCAGCTGTCTCGGATGTTTCTAAAAGTTTGGGTGCCATCGTTGAATGTCCGAGCTTCAGAAGGCTAATCGGCGTTCCTCGGCGATGACAAGATTTGGTTGCTGCTTCCAAAACAAGCTACTGTAAAGTGTTTCTATTTACAGTACGTTGATTTTGGGATATAATGATCCCATTTCACGAGTATTATGAATGTGGAGCTTTAAATCCGTCTTAGACGTCATTGCTCCACATTTTGAAAGGGGATATAACAAGGACAGCGACCTCTCCGGCTCCTGTACTCGTAGAGAGCTCGTACTCGGAGTTCATAGAGTACTACTGGTAGTAGAGCATCGCCAATCTCCAGTCTCTCTGTGCCCAGCAACACTGGTATGAACGACCTACGAACGTATGGACGTCTGAAAAAAGCCTGGTACATTAACTCCGGATCAAGAGCAGTCACCGCTCAAAAAGTCAGAGATAGACAGAATCTGACGGTTGAGATTGTCCCAGCAGGAGCTTCTGTCTCGGATACGTATTAACATAGCTCTCTGATGTCCGCTCTATGCTACATCATGTAGCTAGGACCAGGCTCTCTGATGTAGGACGAGGAGTTGCAACACAGGGCTTTAGCAGCTCAAGCAAGCAAGTGAAACTACATACAATGTCATGTACATGCACTTCCAGAACCCATAAGACCAGAGACTATCCACCCGTATACTGGTACTGGTCTGCAAGATAGTTTTACCGTTTGGGCGTGGTACTGCTATGCTCTTAGAACTCAGCCGGCAGGAAACCTACCAAGGGACAGAAATGAGGCTTGAGGGATCGATCCAGTCAATGAGTCAATGGTACCTGTGTACCTTCCTCCTGGCTGGCTGACAAAACAATGCCAATCTTCTAAATCCTGAAGCGACCGGTGAGATTTATGTATATCTCATCATCTCTTGTTTTTCTTGTACATCGTCGACTCGATACAAATAATTACAACCACCTCCATTGACTTCCTTAGCTGTGCTTGTTTTGGCGGGGACGATTCGATTCAAGGCTCAAGGATAGTAGAGGATAGTAGAGGATACCGTAGTACATGTAGCGCCGACCAGTTCTTGGTATCAAGGGAGAGTTTGAGCTTGCTTGGGTCCTACAGAAATCGTAACCAGAAGGCGCTTGACCATTGATGAGAGCACCAGCGTTAGTTGCTCCATGGTGTGCAACAACTAACAACGCTGCCGCTCGGATGGTGGTCAATCCATTTCTTGTTGTTGATTGGCCGGTCGCTCGGATTGCTGCAATACCAATCTTCTACATCCTCAAGCCATAAGGGTGAGCTTATCCGTCTCTTGTTTTCTTATACCTGTACCATCAACGTTGCAACTTGCAATTCGACAGACTTACTTATGTGAGTGCGTGTGTTTCTCGTGGTTGTACAAGACGGCACCGGTACCGGCACCGGTACCACCAGAACGGCTGACTCAAGAGTGCTAGACGCTGAATGTTTCCGTGACGGGAATGGTGCTTCTTTCGCGGGAGTTGGGCTTGCTCTCGGAACAGTGAATGAAAGTCCGCCTGTCCGCGTTTTTCCTTGCCAAAAGTCCACACCGGAAAGGCACGAAGAGCAAGTCAAATGCCCCCCAAGGTTGACCCAACCAAGATGGCCACTAGAGTGTTACTCGTATATGTTGTTGCTACAGCTACCACTCCAAAATCTTGTATGATGCCATTACGGATCATTCAAGCTTGCTCTGTTTAGCATCAGGCAGTCAGGAGGCACGGTACTATTCAAACGACCATCCAAAATCTTATGGCTGGAAGCCAAGCTCTGGTCGGTGGAGTGACCAGCCAAGGCTGCCCTGTTCTGTAGGGAATTGCCCAGAATGGAGCAGTGGTGCACCGAAGGTACCACTGGTGGTGCAGCGTCGGTGCTCTCCTCACAGCTCATGCTTTGACATCATGATGACATGGTTCTGGCAGGTGTGGAAAAGCTCTCCAATCCAGCCAACAAGAAGCCAACAAGAAGCCAACAACAGCGACATGCTGATGGTGAAGCAGCTTTTTCAGAGAGGTCCTTTCTATTGCCATGACCGGAATATGAGATTTAAGGAATCAACCCATTCATCCCTAATCAATAAGGTATTGTGATGCCACTAAAGTCATCAAGAGCAGATCACTGCATGAAGCAATCACTGGGTTATGTGTCATGCTCTTTCCGTCCTCACTGACTCTTCGAACTGGCAAAATTGAGAAAGTACAAAGTTCCAGCGACTGGAAGCACTTCCTTGCCAATATTGTGGAGATATAAGGAAAAGTGAGTCCTCATTTTCTCTACTTTCTTCGACAGACACAGAGACCTACCGGTACTCGAGTACGTAGTGCGTAATTAGGCCATAGGTAAACAGTACGGTAAGAACCACAGAGAGTACTAGATAGAGAGTTGTGACCTGCTACTTATGATTATTTATGCCAAACTGACGTCCTTGTGTGAATCGAGTCATGAGAATGCGAACAGGTTGTCGAAGAAAGCGTACTGTACTTTTATAGTAAATGTACTGAATTAGCTATGAACCCTAAATCTGGTAAATATCCGCGGTACTGCAATGTCCCTTGGAAGCTTCCCCGAGAATCCAAGCTGCAAGCAGGCTGCCACTCCAGCGACTGCCAGTCCCCTTTCCTGCGGTCTAAGCAGGTCTAACATTTATTTTTTCTCGAAGGCAAGCACAACTCCACTTCCATTCTCTCTCTCCACTTCTCTATTATAATCACTTTACCAACCAACCAATTCGAACCAAGCCAGCCAACCAAACTAAGCAAGCAAGATGACGACTGTTCAAATTCTCGAAGGCCTTCCCGACAATGACCTCGCGTCGGTGTCCTCCTATAACGACAAGACGGGCGGTGGTACAACCAGCGGTGGCGACAATGCGGACAAGGACGAGAAGGGTTGGTTTTCATTTCTGTGGGACGACAAAGACAACAAATTTGTGTTTTTCTGGATGGGAGTAGTGCTTGTCACGATAGCCAGTACGGGAGTCTTTGTGTTGATCTTTACGGCCAACATTCTGCGAGATGACGAAACCAAGACATTTGAAAATGCCTTCCATCAACACGTGCGCAACATTGCCGAAGGAACGCTCTTTCAAGCCAAGACTATCATGAGCTCCATGGAGACACTGGCCGATACCATTACCATCTATGCCGAAGCCAGTCAAGACAATTGGCCCTTTCTTGGTACGTCATCTTTCTGAAAGTGATCTGTATGTTATTACAGTCTTGCTGACTTGTCTTTTTATTTATTTATTTATTTATTTAGTGGTCCCCGAGTCTGGACGTCGTGCGCTTCGCACTCGCGTCGATGCCAAACTCGACCTGGTGGGCTTTTCTCCTATCGTTGCCAACAATGAAACCACCGAATGGACCGTCTTTTCCTCCTACGAATTAGAAGATGTCACGGCCCACTCGATTCCCTATATCTACCGACTCGATGACAACAATAATGACCAAGTCATTCCCGACACTACTTCCAACCAAATGCTTCCCGTTTGGCAGACATCTCCCACTCCCTACAATACGTCATTGATCAATTACAATCTCATTTCGGCTCCCAAATACGGCGCCCTGTTTGCGGATATGATGGAAACCCAACATACGGCCATTTCCGCGATCTATTCGGATTACGATCTGGATACGTTCAAGAATCAACAGTTCTTTGATCCCTCCGATTTCAACTCCACCATTCCACGATCTGTCATTGTCATGCCTGTGTACAACAGTTTCTTGTTGGAGCAACGATCCATTGTGGGAGTCGTTCACGGCGTGTTGCCGTGGGATCGATTCCTTACCGGCATTCTACCCGAAGGTGTCAATGGCATTATTGCCGTGATTCGCAATACATGCGGCGATCGCTATTCCTTTCTCCTCAATGGACCCGACGTCGTCTTTCTGGGACCGGGAGATGTCAATGGCACCAACAATGATTACATTACCGAAACCATTTGGTTTGGGGTCGAATTCCTACGATCGCCATCTACACTCTCCACCTCTACACGGCCCAAGAATATCGGCGATACGTGTGTCTACAGTGTCGGCATTTATCCATCCGAAGAATTCGAACGATTCCATGGCAACTCCAACGTCGAAGTCTTTACCGTCATGTACGCCTGTGTCTTTTTGTTTCTGATGGTCGTCTTCTTTATTTTTGTCTGGTTTGTCCAAAAACGACAAGCTCGCGTCATGAAAATTGCGACGCGGACGACGGCCATTATCTCGACACTCTTTCCGGACAATGTTCGCGATCGCATCATGAAACAAGCCGAAGATCAAGCCAGTCGGGAACAGCTCGCCAGTAGTGGCGGTGATGATGCATCCAGTGCCAATTTTCAAAATCTCAAGAGTCTACTCACATCGGGGGATAAAGCGGCGGCGGCTGGAAAGCAGCAAAGTCAGGAACTCGGCAATGGGACCGATCACATGGCGTCCGTGTCGCTCTTGCCGGAAACGGCACCCAGTGGAGTCACGACGTTTCAAGACAAACCCATTGCCGACCTGTATCCCAATTGTACCGTATGCTTTATGGACTTGGTGGGATTTACGTCGTGGTCGTCCACGCGCGATCCGGTACAAGTCTTTAGTCTATTGGAAACGCTTGTGAGTATTACACAATGGCATTGCAGTGCATCGATAGTACTTGCCTTGGAATGATAGAATCACTTACCCTTTTTCGTTTCCACCTGCTTACAGTACGGAGCGTTTGATTCCATTGCCAATCGAAGAAGAATTTTCAAAGTGGAAACCATTGGGGATTGTTACGTTGCCGTGGTGGGACTTCCCAAACCAAGGCGCGATCATGCACTGGCCATGACTAGGTTCTGTCACGATTGTCTCATCAAGAGTGGAGAAGTCTTTCATTTTCTAGAGGAATCCCTTGGGCCTGGAACCAGTGGGTTGAATCTTAGGCTGGGGCTGCACAGTGGACCCGTCACGGCTGGAGTGCTGCGCGGTTTAAAGGGTCGATTCCAGCTCTTTGGCGATACCGTCAACACGTCGGCCCGTATGGAAAGTAACTCGGCGGCGGGAAAGATCCTCTGTAGTCAAGATACGGCGGATCTCCTTATTGCCGGTGGCAAACGACACTGGGTGTCTCCTCGAGCGGAAAAGATCGTGGCCAAGGGCAAGGGCGAAATGCAAACATTCTGGGTTACAATCAAGAACACAAAGTCCGTGCTGGATGGGTCCGTATCGGAATTCTACTCTCGCACGTCTAGCACAGTAGACGACTCCCAAGCAGGAGGGGACGATGGTTTTGTGGATGTGGAAAGTGGTGCCGATGGTGGTGGTGCTGCCGACGTCAATCATCATCATGATGAAAAACCTGTATTTGAGACAGTGATGGACTGTTGATTTGCATTGCATTGAATTCATGTTGAGTTGATGTTTGCGTAAAAAACAGTCTTTTGACACACAAAAGAGACGAAAGGCAGTTGTATATTCCGTACATGGATGGATGGGCCAGTTATGTAGCTGAATGAATTCGACTCAACCAATCGAGCTGGAAAAAGATGGCAGAAGACGACCAAATCCCAACAGGCCAACAAGTTTTAACGAAATGACGCAGGCCCAACATGGAGAGGATTTCCTTGTGTCCGGAATAAGGAAGCCCAAGGACTGTTCCTGTCATCATTTCGTTTTCTCCCGTCTTGGGCTAGGCTGCACCCTCATGGTCTTGAGGCAAAAGCTAGGTACCTATCTGTAGCATAAACACACTAGTTTGATTCTCAGGTATTTAAATACGATTCATCAATAGCATCTAAACAAGTGCAGCTGGTTCTATGCCATCGTTGATTGGGCCATTCTCTTTTTTGGAGATAGAGCCACAGTTCAGCAAACATACTGGTATTTGAGTTGGGGGCCCTCGCCGAGCATTGATGGAGCATTTGGCGACCTGCTTCGACGATAGAGAGACAATTTTCCCCTTAGCAAGGGCAAAGGAGGTATCACTGAAGATATATCCCATGGGTAATATCCATGGTATTAGAAAGCTTCCCTGATCAATTCTGTTCTTTTCCCCGTTAGTCGGTTAGTCAGCCATGTCCCATCTAGCTGTTGTCAGCTTCCAAGCGTTCCGCTTTTTGTAGTAATTCCTTTCGCTGCAATCTCAAATTCGCAGATCCCGCCGTATCAATGGCATCTAGCTTGCAGCATATCCGCGTGACCAACTCGGAAATAACCTTGGGTTGCAAACTGTTGTCACTAATATTGTCTTGTAATTCTTGAATTTCCTGGGCTACTGCCTGCAGCTTTTCGTATCCTTCCTTTTCTTGCGCATATTCTGGCGAATGCAGCAACATGATTTTGGTACGATCCTTCAAACCAATATCGTCCAGCGTCGAATGCCCATCTTCCAAACTCAGTCCACGCGCCAACAGCCGTTGGTAACACGGCGGAATCTCTGTCGTTTGGGAAATCCGAGCCTTCAAATCGTCCACGGTCGCCGACGCATCTTCCCGAATCGTCAACGAATGCCCCAAGCCAGAAATGCGCAGCGTAAGTCGAGGAGGGGCTGCCATGGTGATATTGTCTCTTTGGTATCTCCGTATCTTCCGATACTGGACTTCCAGGTCTGCATGCTCTAGCTAGCTAGCTAGCTAGCTAGTAGCTAGCTAGCTAGGTACTGGTACCCTTCGCCCGTTTTGGTTTTGGTCTTAGGGATCTCCCGCTACAATAGGGTTAAAGCTTTTGAGAAAGATCAAGGGAACAGCTGGCGTGAATTCTTTTTACATGACTACTACATGTACCGTAGAGAGTCTATTCAACCGCAGTCGGGGTCTTTTGGCATGACACCAAAGATCCACCATTATCGTTGCCAGATTAGAAGTATCAAAAGTGAATATTAATTTCAAGACACCAAAGCTCGATCGCGATCCACAAAGATAAAGATACTTTTTTGAAAAGGCCGGGAGAGACACCGGAACAGTAGGATACGCTATTAGCGAGATGAGGTTCTCACCGCACCATGTCATGCTGATGGTAGTTGGCGCCACTACTACTACGCATACCGGAGTTATCGCCGAGAAGCGCCAACTCGGGCATAACTGCTTGAAAACGCGCAGCTTGCACGGAGCTTGCGATGTCGACACCGATGGTAATGAGATGGCGTGTTTGGAAATCAATGGCTATTTCCAATGTGCCCCTGCATTGACAGAAGGTCAAAGATGTGGTGTTGGCAACCGGTACAACGAGTGCCGCCAAGGCTTGTGGTGCTCGGGTGCAGGAGGAGAGTGTCGCGTAGCTCCTGCTATTGGGGAGCAATGTGCCGCAAACGTGGATTATGATACACGAAACGTATGTGGCTACCAGGGCTTTTGTGACTCTGATGGTGATGATACCTGCAGAGAGTATATTACATCCACAGTGGACCACGAAGATCCTTGTCCACTCAGCACGGATTACGGCTATCGAGAATGTTCCGCCGAATTGACTTGCGAGTACCATTGGAACCAAGGCAACTCATTCGGGACCTGTGTCCCTCGTTTTCAAGTGAACGATGGGAACAGTTGCAAAGATCATGACTGTGCGGATGGCCTCATGTGCTACGACTGGGACTGCCATCCTTTGTCGCACCGCGGAGAAAGGTGCCAGAAACAGTACCATTGCGTTGGAAACCTTATTTGTGCGCCAGCGTCAAACACGTGCCAGTTGAGGTCGGAATTTGATCCGGAAGTCATTGACATTGTACCGACAAAGGCACCTACAAAAGAACCAACCAATCGGCCAACTCTTCCTCCTTCCCCTCCACCTACCCCTGAACCTTCATTGTCCCCTACAAAAGAACCAACGCCCGGACCAACTAGTCCTCCTAGCCCTCCACCTTCAATGGCGCCTACGAAGGAACCAACGCCCGGACCAACTAGTCCTCCTAGCCCTCCACCTTCAATGGCACCTACGAAGGAACCAACGCCCGGACCAACTAGTCCTCCTAGTAGCCCTCCACCTTCAATGGCACCTACGAAGGAACCAACTCCTGGACCAACTAGTCCTCCTAGCCCTCCACCTACCCCCGAGACAAACTCTCCTGTGTCTTCACCTGATCCCATCAGTACTACTGCACCTTCATTGGCACCTACGAAAGAACCTACCCATCGGCCAACTCTTCCTCCTACCGGTACCCCTTCGCCTACACCTGAGACGAACTCTCCTGTGTCTTCATCTGATCTCGCCAGTACTGCGCAAGTCTCAAGCCTGGCGGCTGACCTTGGCCAAGATGATAGCCCTGCGGCAACCAATGCGCCCACAGAGCGTCCAACTCTAATTGCCAATCCAGATGATCCAAGTGAAGAAAGTAATAATGCTTCCCCAAGTGCGTCGACTGAATCCTCCGCAGCCGGAATGAATTCCAATATTGATCCCTTGCCAACCGACAGCCCAGTTGAAATCACTCCAAGGGAATATTGTAATGGTGAAACCATATCTGGCCATCCTTGTTTGTCGGCTGTCTATGAAAACTTGGGCCGTGGATTCAACGCGGTAACAGGGGAAATCACAGAGCCGGTTGTAAAGCTGCATTATACAAAGGGGCTAAATTTTACCATTAAAGCTACGGGGATGAAGTACGAGTACCCAGACAATGTCGAATGCAAGGATGAATCAGAAGGAGATGAAGTCATCGACACTAAGAAATATACTTCCACCTTACAATACAGGCAAATTATTGCTGGTCGCTTTGGGTTTTCAGGATCATTCAACGTCAACCATCTTAAACTCTTTGCAAAATACGAACATGCACTCCAAAAGGGTTTTGGTGAGGAACGCTATCTCTACCGAGCTTTCATCAGGAGCCAACTTTATACTTGCAAGCTGATTGCTTCTAGTAAGAAGGAGGTTACACAGAACCTTCAGTCACAAGTGGATCAGATTGCCCCCCCTGCCCCTGACCTTATCGAGAAAACGACAGGAACTCACTACATTACTTCTTTTAATGCTGGCGGAACACGAGACGTTTACGTTTTTGTTCGCAAATGCGTAAGCAACCAATCGAGTACTATTGAGGCCGAAATCAAGGCACTCTTTTCCAAGTTTTTGGTCGCCAAAGCAGAGGGTGAGGTATCCGCTTTGATTGGAATAGAGTGCTCCGAGTTCTCCGAGAATAGCTCTTACCGGACGTATACGAAAGGCGGGAATCAGCAAACTGACCTGGAGGAATGGCTGTCGTCTCTAAAGGACATTCCCGGCGCGATTGAGTACACTATGGAACCGCTTGAAGAGCTCCTACCTATCCTTGCGCCTGCAATTTCAGATTATGTCAATGATGAAGGGCTGTTTCAGGACAAAAGTGAAATTGATTTCCCGATCAGTCCTGCCTGTTGCACCTGTGACACAGAATGCGCAGCATCGAGTGCTCCATCGAGTGCTCCATCGAGTGCTCCATCGAGTGCAGCTCCAGCCTATCTGGTTTGTTCTTCACTGACATTGACCGTGATATCTGGACTTGTCATTTTGGTGATTTATACTTGATTTCTGTTCCGAAAACACTAAGCAATACTTGTTCAGACTGAAAATCAGATGCAGTACACAAATAGTAATGAAAAGTGTAACCAGGTTTGCACAGTTTGCAGTCAGATTACCATCGCAAAAGTCATACCCAAAGCCCTGTTGTGGTGCTCTGTAATGTTGCTCTTGTTGAGAAGTATCACAACCTCAACAGTTTGAGCTCTTATCATGGGGCTATGCTTGATGGTGTTTGGTTCATAGTCAGGATCTTTGCTCTTTGGGAAGTTATAGTTGGACACATTCTTCTTGAGACCCCGTCCACCCATCCCAATCTTTTACAAGCTTCTTGGTGCAGAATTGAAACGGTCTGCAAGATTGAATCAAACATCCAAGAATCAAAATGATGAGGAGGAGTCCATGCTGGCTGTCTTCAAGATTGCATGGACAGTACTTGAAGCATATCACTTATTTGCCATTTCCTACATGGTCCATGTCTCCCTCAACGAAATCTTGTCTTCCTGGCAATGCTCCTCCATTCTGCACTGGGTTGCCTTGTGTGGTAGCCTGCTGCTTCCCTCGTTGCTCTTATCGCAAGCATCTTCCTCAAATGGAACAGCGTGATCCATCAGATAGCTGAATATGAAGGTTCACTGTACCCCCAGGCACGTTACCAATTGGGCTTGTGATCTCCACTTCGAGATTGCCTCATAGGCTATTACCCTTGTCTTTGGACTTTTTTCCAAGGTTTCCAAAGCACAATTCTTTTCCTCCATGGCCTTTGACATTGATTTTTGTGTCAGAGGCAGCTCCACTTCACACCACAGTTATTGCATTGCCGCCCAATGTTGACTACAACAAGAGCTGACAATCCTTATCCCTGAATGCTAACTGGACTCAACTGCTTTGCAAATTGACCCGGCCATCGTATCGAATGGCTACCACTACCACACCGTACCGGTAACAGTCACAGTTCCTTCCGATCCCTGGATCTGTGTCTGGACAGGACCTGGTGTCTCGACCGAGTCCAGTCCGTCATGGGACTGGTTCGGCAATGTCCAAGACTTCACCTTACGGCGTACTAGTAGCTACCCCATGGCTGCTGGTCTGTAGCTCTAGCAGCAAGCCGTCCAGTACAAACCAAAGTATCCTCTGACTGATAGATAGCTTGAGCGACTAGCTAGCTAGTAGATTCGATTCGAAGCTGTTAGCTTGATGCTGCGGATCTCCACACCGGCATCTTCCTACTAGCTAGCTTCTCGGTTCTCTACGATAGTACTGTAAAAGCAGCCGTGTCAAGCATAATCTCCCCCATAGTATACTTGTTTGTTTGTTTGTTTAGTTAGTTAGTTATGCCGCCTTGCCAGTACATGTCGTCGGCCGTTGAGGAGAATGGGAATCGTCTTGACTGCTGAGGCTACCTCCGCTGGATTGCCGTGCCACGGCAATGTCTCTCAGTTTCTTGGTATATAAAAAGGGGTCATGCCCATCGCAACCACCGCCAAGAGTCCGAATTCTTCCTACTCCACCGTCGGGCGACAAGGAGGATCGTCGTCGGGGTCGCTTGGGGAGACTGACCGTGGCCTGTTTCTCGGTAGGACTGCAACCATTCCATCGGCATACGGAGCTGTCGTCCATACTACTGCTATTGTCGGACATGTCTTCTTCTTCGTCTTGTGTGGTCATGCGGGTTCTTCTTCGGCGTCGTCCAAAACTAGCATTCTTCTTGGACGAAGAGTTGTTGCCGACATGGCGGTGGAGCAAGGCAATCTTGGTATCCAAGGCGGCGGGACAACTCGTGCTGCGACTGCTCGCCAGTTGATCCCGACGGTTTTCGTTCAACGAGTGACCGGGCGCATTGTCTTGAATCAACACCATGCTACCCACCGGTAAAGAGGGCGGCAGCGAGAGTCTTTGGTTGGTCATCGTCGTTGTCATGGTAGAATAGAATAGAATGCAAAATTTGATGGCTCTGGCTAGCTGTAGACTGCTGTAGCCGCTCTTGATGGCTTGATGCAAAGGGGAGGTTGAGAAACCAAAATTTCAGATTTTGTGGGAATTACATGTGGCTCTCGAAGAAGCTCTCGAAGATACCCACAGAACCACGAGGCTCAAGCAAGGGATTGATTCGATTCGATTCGGGTGGTGAACTCCTAATTGTCATGATCCCTCATTCAGTGCCGTGTTTTCATTGATACCAGTAAAAAAGGTCAGACCAACATAACAGCTGCTTCTTTTTCATAAGCCCCAACTCTGGGAAGCAGTGGGATGTTGGGCGTTGTGTACTCCTGGCCATACACATTGGCCAACGCGCCGGCAGACGAAATAATGAGAACAAAGAGTGGGTTAGTCTTGCTCGCTGAAAAAATCGTTAGCAACATGCACGAATGAGGAGTGGACCACTTACCGTTGCAAAAGCACTCGTGACCCATCTCCAACTCTTCTGGGAACCCGCGATGAAATGATGCCCACCATTGCAAATGTCTGTCATGTAGGAGAAGAAACAATCAGATACCAGGAACAAGACAATGGAAAACAATTCAGCACTCTCTCGCACTCTCACCTCTGCTGTGGTATTAGACAACAAACAACAACAGGAAGTACTTCGTTTTTTGGTCTCTTACGGTGTTTTTCTGCCTCGCCATGGTTGCCTTGGTGGCAGATCTCGAAAAATGAAGTGCCCATCCTCCGTCTTCACCGGAAAACTTGGAATGCCTCGGCGGGAAAGCCCGCAAGGTGTGTCTTTCGAACAATTTGGTTAAGGAAGGACGCATGTGATTTGCCAGTCTGGTCAACTCGGGAGCTTCTCCAGTTGCAACTCACAATTTGGAGATGCTGGAAGAAAATTCGGTGTTGGGAATCGCCATTCAGAGTACCAAAAGAGGGTGTTTGCGACATGGCAACTCAATTTTGGAGTAGGGATGTAAACACTGCGGGCTTGAAGTATCGCTAAAGCAAATAGTTTTGATAAAGTCAGTTGTGAATCCACTCGCAGAAATGCTCTGTAGTTATTTGGTGGTTGTCTAGGTATCGCCATGTCGTCTCGCCGTTCATCGCCACCGTACCAGTATTTGGATATTCGCTCGCAGAATGCCTCGCAGAATGGCGACGAAGTGGGGTTGCAAAGCTCTGGTGACAATATTCGTGGTGGAGCCCAGACTTATAGTCATCCTTTTCAGTGGTCAAGATTCGCCCCACCAGCACCACCACCCCCCTGCACAGGTACGCCCCACACAGGAACCCCAACCGGTACGTTCCCTACCCTCCTCCATATGCGTACGTGCAGTACTATCCAACTGGCTGGACCCAAAATGCCTCCCCTGCATTGGCGTATGGAACTGGCTTTCAACCTCCTAGCCACCATGTCACTCATCCATCACAGGATGGCATTGTATCAACTGGAAAAGCCACCCAATGTCGTGATTACGTCGAGGACCAGCTTGTTTGCCATGTGCAAGCAAGGAATTGGCAAAGTCGCAAATGTATGAAAAGTATGGAGGATTTATCGATGTCAACGGAGTCAGCAAACAATGCCTTAGGCCTGACGGTACCGTGAAGAACAACGATGGGACCAAGACAATCAAGTTCTGTTGCAGAGTTGGAGACAAGGAAGATCCAAGCAGAACCAGGTGCCCCTGGAGAGGACAAACTAGAGACATGGGAGAGCTATCCCTCGAGAGCCATCGTTTTCGTAACTACATTCGACTCGCAAACAGCAAGCACAATCACAACCTGCAGAAGACACCCAGTAATCCAAAAGACCAATATGGAATTGCTCCAGCACTGCTACCACTCGTACAGCAGTTTGTCTCGGATCAGACAGAAGCAGGACGTTCCATTCTTAGAGTCACAGCTGATGAGGTATTGAAATCGATCACCAAGACTGTTCGGAGTGATGTCGAGTATCTAGATCATCGCCATCACGTTGTGCACACAGAAGCTAGGGAACACTTTCAAGACAGTTGCGAAACTACGTAGCCAATCAAAGAGAGTCGCACATAAGACGAAACTGTTTGGATTCTCGAATCTTCGAAGCAATGACGTTCTAATCAGAGTACTGTCTCACTGGGAGCTTAAGTTGCCAAGCACCTACGTTCGACGATGCAACTATCGGTCTCTGAGGAAATAGCAACAGCACTTGAAGTGTCAGGCCCTGGAGCATTGTTGACCGTTAATCTTGGGAGCGGTGATGTGGTTGACCGGTACAGAAAGAGCGTCTTGCAACATGAAGAAACCAAACAGAATAGCAATTTCGAGGAAAGAATCGAAGGTGCTTTGTGGTGTTTTCACCAACTGGGCTGTATCAACTTATGCACCTGGCTCTTCGAAGGAAGGGCACACGGCAGCTATGCTGTGATGGCACCGGTGGCATGATAAGAGACCAGAGTTGCCTGATCACAGTTGGCAGCGTATCAGTCAAACTGCGAGGTGGCCAAGATGAAGTTACGTCGTCCTTTCGGCCAATTTTGTATCTCAGAGCTGGAGGTGAACGATTCCATCCGTATTGTTTGGTACTGTACTGCATGCGAGACTTTGCAGTAGGATGTTTGGTGTCGACTTTGCTATTGATTGGGGAACAAGTGATGATGCCGATACATTCGTTAACTCCCACGTCTTCTTCAAGAGAAATGTGGCTTTATGCGATGCCCCATCGAACGAAGATGGAACACATCCTTTTTCCCAGCAACGACAGTTCGCAGTGGAAGAAATCGAAGAATACCCACCTTCTCCTCCATTCGATGCTGAAGTGCCTCTTACACAAATAATGGGAGACAATGAAGCAGTCGCATTGAAGACGTCTGGCAGTACTGACAGTGATGACGATTGTATTGAAGGCGAAGCTGTACTTAATTGTTTCTTTCATGTCATGCAGGCTTTTGCCAAACGAAAGAGCTACGTTGGTAAGATGAAGAGTAAGACATTTGCTGCTCCGAAGGGAACAGCGTATCGACATGTGTGCAACATCGGCAGTACGAAAACGATTGACCAGAGGAGAACTGTGACTGATCTGTACATTCGAGACTGGAGCGAAAATCGAGGTGAGAAAGACGCGGCGGATCACCTTCGAAAGGAGTATTGCACTTTTCCCCGTTGGAACTGGAATTATGCATGCAGTGGTGAAGTTGGCGTGTACCCATCGAACTGTCCTAACGAGAGCTTCAATCGACATGGAATAAAGAGTGTGGCATCCGATTGCTCCAAGAATGCCTCTCTTGCAGCCTTCCTTGTCCATACCGCCCCACGACTCTTACAAGAAGAATGCACACGTACGGTCAGATCCATGTACCATCGAGATACCACGAAGTGCATCTATCTTTGCAGTTGCCGCTAGTGGGTTCTTGAGAGAAAACATAGACGTGGTGGCACTTGGAAAGGATGCCTACGATAACCCTTCAAGCTGGTTAGTTAATGTCGGACGCAAGATCGGAATTCCAATTGATCAAAGAAGGATCAGACTTGTTTTGGCATCGTTGGAAGGGAACAAGGTACCGTTCGAAGAGATCCTGTGCAAGCAGAAGATGGACGTAACACACGACCAAGTCGCAGACATGATGGTTCGTGCTACGAATTCGGTGTGCCACCTACAATGGAAGCAAGGCAATATAGTTGGTGACTGTGAAGATTGCTACAAACATCTTGGATATAGCTGTCCAGGAGCAATCTATCTTCGCAGCAAACATGGTCTGTTGTTGTCGAGGTTGGAGATATTGCGCAAGACCAGTGCGAATGCAAGAGGAGACGCTGCGAAGGCAAGTGCAAGAGGAAACTCGAAGCTCTTATATCAGAGTGGGCTTGGCAAGACGTCGAAACGACGTTGTCTTTCGAAGGTGCTGGGAGTCTTTCGATGCCTACCTTGCAACTCTTGAATATGGCCAGTTATCGCGACTTGCTAGATACTTGGGACTGTTTCCTGCGGCAAGAAAGAAGTCGATCCAATGAAAGGACTTACTACACAGTGCCTCCTCGATAACTTGCTTTCTTTCTATGACAATCCAGCCGGTCATCGTGCTATGCTGCTTGGTTGTCGAAGCAATGAATCTCCTTTTGCGGTGGTGAAAGCGCTTGCCGGCAAGATGAAGGCAGCGTCAATGCCACAGAAAGAGAACAACAAATAGGCTGCCGGACGTTTTACTATGTAGTCCTAAAGCATATAGCCAACTGCTCCATCCTACTGTACTGCTGCAATAGACGTTGTTTGTATTGCGGTCACAAGAAGTGGAGAGTTGAAGTATCAAAATATCGAATTACAATTATTGGCCCAAAGCAAAACAAATTTGGGTAGCTACGTTCCAATTGCATTGGCATTGGTTGCTGCGAAACACTCCAATTATTGGATGCCGATACTCCCTCTGACAACTCCAGCTCGAGCTTTCTTGCAGGGGAGATGATTGATGCTTGGCAAAAAGCGACCACAACTTTGCTTTCCCAGAAAAGAATCAGTCAGAGTCAACCTCTTAGTTCCTTGTAAAATGACGGATCTCATGGCAGAGTACGTTCCTGTTGCGCGACTTGCAAGGAATGTCGAGAAAGGAGACAATGGAGTTGTTTGTCATACTCTGGAGCAATACCAGCAAGACATGGCCTATGTCGAGATGAAGTTGGCCGATATGGTGGCCGCTGGGATGGACTTGAAGACTGAAGCCAACAAGAAGCTCATCGAAATCAACAAAGACCGAAGAATTCGTGGGTATCCTCCCATGAAAGAATGGGTGTATGGCAATGACATGCATGGCATTCTTTGGGTTCGATATCTGTTGGAGGATGGTACTCGCAGTATGTTGCCGTATGAGAATGACGATATTGACATGTTCATCATGCAACATCTGTTCATGTTGAAGCTGCTGCTTCCAAACCCCTTCGAGGAAGCTCACAAGACCACTCACTCTGCGAGATCTGGTGTTACAACGAAGATGCGTACATCCGTCGGTACCATCGTTGGTTGGGAGACGTGACTTGTACATAGAAGGGTGGAAGATCCAGTGATGTGAAGATTCCCGTGAATGGGAGGGCAATCTTTGGCAAATGAGCGTTTGTTGGACAATGAGACACAGCCGAGGATAATGAAGACGCATCCGAGGAGAATCTTTCCCTTGTCGTTCCCGAAAACCTATTCAGGCCTGGTGATGTGTACGACACTGACCAAACCAACCACACGGCGGATGACGAAGATGACCTTGTTGGCCTGGAGCCCGAAGAACCCTTGGAAGAACCGGTGGAAGAACCAGTGGAAGAACCAGTGGATGAACCAGTGGATGAACCAGTGGCCGTGGCAGAAGAAACTGGCCCAGGTTCTCCTTCCCCTTCTACTGGTTCCGTGGTGATTGATGAAATCTTGAAGCGTCCGGTAGATTGGGTGTTCTCGCAGATTGCATCGGACGAGGACCTTCCCAACAGTTCGCCCATTTCTCAGAAGACCGACAGTTCCCAGAAGACCAACAGCTCCACCACTGCCGATTTGTCTAACTCCAACACCGAGGAGGAGGACACCGAGGAGGAAGAGAGCCCATGCAAGAAGCAGAAGACAAGCGGTGAAGACGAAGAAGTCACTACGATCAATGGCAATGAAGAAGGGGCCGATGAAGACAGCAGCGACAGTGACGGAGATAATGAAAACAGCATCCCAAGTGGTATTGAGATCTTGGCCACCGGTAGCTTCTCGTATTAGACTCCATTGTCTGGGTTCCTGGCATCTGATTGTTGACCCCATTATTGTTTGTCCTCTACCATGACACCTTGCTGTTTTCGGCATGGGTGCCCCAAGGGTATCATTTGGGGTTCCCGGCGACTCTTGAAATGGTTTCAGTCCTGATTATCACCGAGTATGGTTTACCATGGCTGACTCCATGCATAGTTAACTGAGTATAATTCGCGCCGAAACTACGACTACGCCTGCTGTCTTATATATTTATCCATGTATGCATATAAATCTTTCAATGGCCACGAAGGTAAATCCAGTAGTAAGTTATAACCTGGGATGTTGCACTTCTCCAGTTTCTACCGGTTAGGGAGCATTTATCCTTAAGGCTATCGAGAATTCGGAACTGTGAATGCACTGCAAAGCTCTGTGAATGAACTGGCAGAAACTTGGAGAAATAGATTTACATTCTCTTTCTGATCGTAGTCAACCTGATTGTAAGTCTTGATTTGTACGAGAGTGAGGATTGAGACAAACCAGGTCTTAACGATTCACTTTTAAACTTGTACCTTTCCATGAGATCACGGTACGTGGCAAGCGCAATAAGTAAGGCATCAATAATTGAGTAGTTTCTGAGACAACAAAAGGCAAAAGAGTTTTAGAACAATCTTTGCCTCTCTGCCTACCGGTAGGCCAACTGCAGAAAAAGAAGCACTCAAAGAAGATAAAAGAGTGACGAGTGACGAGTCATCAAAATTTGCTGTATGCAACGTTGGGACGAGTGTGTTTCGTTGGGAACCCCCCCACCCCTACCGCCCCTGTACCACCGTACCACCACCACAACTCGGTTGCTCAAAGATAGATACTTGGACGGCACCTTCTGGCTGGCTGCCAGAGTAGCTAGTGAGCTAGTGGCTACCGTACTGTACGGTACGACTGTAGCTTGCTGGTTGTTCGAAGCCACCAAGAGAGATGCCAATAACGTAAAAGAAAGCTATCTTCTGCAACCTACGACCGTAGGTTTCTCTGACTTAGTTCTACAGTGTACATGGTTGCCAAAGAGGAAAAGAAGACAGTGGCTGTCAACTACTCAGCAAATCACAGTTGCTGCCCGAGACCCTGCAGTACTATTCTTGCTCTCTTTCTTCCAGCCAATTGCTTGCATGCTATGCATGTTTGCTTCACAAGTTTCTTGTTGCATTCCCTTGGATTGAGTAGAGTCCTTTAGAGGCAATACTACCTTTGGAGATTAAGTATAGCTACATAGAAGTCTTTTTCCGAAAAGGGGAGCCACTCTTGGAGAATCGAACCAAGAATTCGGAATTCCCCCAACACTACACTTCCCAGTCCGAACGGAGGGCAGTGTATCCAACTCTCCACTTCCCATCTTGCTTTGCTGCCCGCAATTCTGTTCTTGCTTTTGGCCTCTTGCTCACCGGTATTATTCAGCAGCGATGGCCACGTCAAAGCAAGCAAAGGCAGGAAATGTGTATTGATGGTTACCTAAAGTGCTCGCCGATATGAGAGGGCTGGTAGTACGCAGCCCATTGCCGCCCAGGATTGAAGCCATGTAACCAAAATCACTGTATTCTAAAGTATTAGAGTTGGCACAGCCCACCAGCCACAGCTGAAACCAAGGCAGCTCTCAGGAGAAGGAAAACTACTACCAGGTACCCTGAAGGGTCCGTACTTCAGTTTGTTTTACATGTATTTAGACGTTATACTATCTAGCCACGTTGTTGAGGTTGGGCAATACTGGTTCCACTGATCTCTTGATTGCCCCCCAAAAAGAATCAAGGAATCTGCAAATTTTGCCAAACGAAAACGGAATGCCGCACTGAGATTTCCAGGAACTGGGACTGGCTGGCTCTTTCTGCGAGTACGCCGAATCATGTTTGGATTCTTACTCGTTTCAACCACTGCCAATCGGCCAGCAGCACGTCGCAACTATAGTTAGACGAACAAACTAAGCCCCATAAACTCGCCTGCAACAAAGAATTGCAAAGATTCAGCATTACTCTGCCTCCCTAATGAAAACATACTTTCCACTATTCTCGCCTTTCGCCCTCCTGGCTTGCCTTCGGCTCCAGACGGTCGCCTCGTTCGATGATTTTTATTTTCCAGACCACGAAGAAGAGTGGCGGATGATGTCACAGAATGGAACGCGACGTGTCTTTAACTTTGGTATCGGCAGCTTGTCGAGCTGGGCCTCTAGACAAACAACCGCAACTACAAGTCCTTTCGATTCTCCTCCGTCAATAGCCCCTGCGTTTCCTGGTGCAGTTGGCGGCCTTGTCAGAGAATTTGGAATCGAAGCTTATGGAGCGTGTTTTAACTGGGCTCCTGCCACTGTCAGACCATGTTTCCCAGACTTTGAAGACTGCAGCGCACCAGTCACTGGGTTCTTCTTTGAGATTTTCGAGGAAGAGTGGAAATCTCTTCGCGATAGGGAAGACATATATGACCTTCTCGAGGTCTCACCTAACTCACCACGCCCAGAAGGGCTTGATCCTGATGGCTACTACTTCACCTGGGCCTCAAGAACATACGATCCGCGTGAGCCTGCCTGTGCCAATTCTCCTGACACCTTAGTTTCTCAAGCCTATTGGGACTCCATAATCGCCGGCATCATGGCTTGGGACGGACAGCTCCTGAACAGCGGGCGCTACACTTGGGATTTGATGGCGGAGCTTGAAGAAACTCCAGGCTTTGCATCCAAGGTACATCAATCACCAAGTCTATCCTTGGAAGAGCGCCGAAATTTGGCAGTGGAGTTGGTGAAATCTACCAAGCAATCTGTGTTGCAATGGGTTGACGATCGCAGATGCCCGCTCAACGGTAATACTATCATTACTCCAATTTCCGAATTGTCCACTGAAGTACTTGAGGAGGAACCTATCGAAGCGGCTGCCATTGGCACAGTCTCCCCTCCCTTCTCTGATGCCTTTCATGCTTTCATTGACGAAATCTTGATTGAAGGAGGGTGGGAATTCGGTGCCCTCAATAGCATCCATAACCGGATGGATGCATGTACCTTTGTTGACCCGAACGGACGGGGAGATTGGACTACTAATCTTTACTACGATGACTTTGTTGGTTTCTGGACTGTACCCACCGGCCTAGAGGAATCTGAAGTCACCGAGGAGAGTGTTAGCCCCAATCTGCCCTGACCAACCAACGGATCCTATTGATATTGAATTCATGGAAGGAAACTTGAATAAGATAAGGTGGTCTCTTTTAAATTAGAAAGTCGACGAATTGTGTTTTGCAAATTTAGCATCGCTGCGCCGAGTTATCTTGTGTCTTTCTAGCTTTGGCTACTAGCTAGGATGTTCTTGACTGCGCGATGGCTTGATCCTTGGTGGTTTGAATGGCAAGCGGACAAGACGGTATCGGTATATTCCAGCACGTCGCAAATTGTCGAGGTTCGGTGGTTTCCACGGCTTCCGCAGCTTCCACTGTGCAACAGGATTGCCGGTGCTTCTAACAAAATATCGACCCCTTGCTCCTTGATTGCTTCCGTCAAGTGCTCGCCGATTGCGATATGGAAATGCGTCTCGTCCAGCCCGCTTCGTTCGGCAGGTGCATGGAGGCAAGGGCGTCAACAAATGTCCATCGACCAACGCGCTGCATTGACAATTGAACTCGCACACTTTCTCCTGATGGAACCAGAAAGCTCAGAAGGCTTTCGGGTACGAAGAAAACACGCAGCTGACAGCTTGCAAAGGCACCGGCTCAGGCTTCGTGGTCACAGGGGTTGATCGCCAGGTAATCGCATTCATCGAGGTCGCGAAGAGCTCTTATGTGGCACAGAGTCCTTTTGCGGTGCCGGTTCATGGCGTTGCACAATCGGGATGAACCCGTGCTTTGCTTCCCAGTCACGGACGCTGTCAAGCACTTTTTCATAAGCAGCGTCCGCTTCTTTGTCAACCGCAGGGTAACTGATGAGGCTGTGAGGACCGTAACTATTCATTTCATGGGAACTGGTGCCTCCCCCAGCCGAGCGGGCACTGTGCTGACAACCCCCCAAGTGAGAAGAGTTTCCTTTCAAGATATCCTTGCTGGGGCGCGTATGGGCAAGCTGTTTGAATCGTTGCTGGTACTTGGGAATAAAGATGGGCAGTAGCAGGGTCAAGCATGCAACATCTACAAGGGTTGACTCAAGCAGGAATCTCCTCGTCGGGTTGTCTTTCACAACGAACAAGAGAGGCCCGAATATTACTGTTGTTTCAAACATGCTCACAATCGAAACGAACAAGTGGGTCGTTTCAGACATATCCGTGGTCACGTCCCTTTGAAGATAGCACTGTGAACCATGCACGAAAGGGTGTTGTACATTTATGAGCGAAAGGGAGTCACCAAGAAGGAGACCAGGCTGCGTAACGTACCTGATATGCTGCGTATCCAACGCCGGCAAGGTTGATTAAACCCAGTGGGACAATGAAGTACCAGGAGACAGATGGTGTGTAGTAACCACAACTCCCATAGGTTTCTGTGAGACGGCCGAATTCGTCATAAGCGGTGCTGTCAACCGGAACTGGAACCCGGCTCCACTTGAATGGCGCAATCAAGGTGCAACTCAACAAGAGCGCAGTATTGCACAAGAGCAGGATGCACAACGGTTGTTGCACCTGCATCGCAGACACCTTGACTCGCCGCATTGCCTGTCCGTTTCTTATTACCATGTTCAGTCGCATTGCTTTTGAAATAGTTGCAGAGAAAGCCACGCAAAACCCAACCAAGACGATCCATGGAGTGGCCATACAGGCCGCATCTAGGTTGAACTTGGACGTCTCACAACCTTCCCTCTCTTCTTGCATGCTCAGTGGAATGACAGCCATGGCTGTGAGAAACGTCCCGAGGCAAAGTTGGCACAGAAAGACGGGCTGTCCGGCTCCGACAACATATCGCTTTCGATTCAGGACTGTCCAAACCATCCAGCCCAGCGACATCAAAGCCACAAAAGCAGCAAATACCCATCCATATATCAAGGCACCGTTGTCAATCAAGTTGCATTCCATTCCGTCAACAGGAGGCAGCGGTGATGGCTGGTTGGTTGAGTTGTCAGAATATGTGTAAGGATCCTTGAAGTTGATCGTTTCGGTTCCTACGATTGCCACCGTGGAAATGTTGAACTCAACAAAACTGCTGTTGGGAACAGCTCCCTTGCCCTTGTCCGCCAATACAACGTTCTCCAGCCGATAGTGAACAGTATCTTCCCTTCTTGTGCCACTGTTGTGGTCAAAGGCTACCCATCCCGTGACACCTTGGAATTCTGTTCGTACCAGCGCATCATAGAGCTGCTGTCCTGCGAATTGCTCGGGTGCTTTGCAAGCTGCAATCCCAAGTGCCATCATGGCATCATACGCCAGATAGGACACAGACGATCTTACCGGAGCCACGTAATCAACAATCCGTGCCCACTTTTGTTCGGCCTGAGACGCAATGTAGCGATCCCTCATGGTCCTGTTGTTGCTGTCTACCGGGCCTCTAGCCAACAAGAAATCTTCAAAGTGCTGATCAAAGGCGGGGTGATCTTCAAAGTGCATGAACGTTACCGCACTTCCATGAACCGCTTGAGCAATATCGCCTTCTGTTTCTTTGTCCAAGATTCGAGTCATTTCGAGTTCTGAGAAGTACCAAGTATATCCCGGTGCTCCCATGATACCGTGCTGGAACCCCTCACGAGCCACATGCTTCCAGGTGGGCGGGTTGCTGCGTAATAAGATGTCAGTGGCTCAATTGTGAGGATAGCAGTACCGTACGGTATGATTCGATTCCACTGAATCCGTACGATGCAACGACTTACACAATGCCGACAAAGTATTGGACTTTGGACTGTGCCAACTCTTTCATGGCTTCCTTTAACAGAATCCATTCCTCTTTATTGTGTCCTTCCACATATCCCACAGAGGTCGCCACTGTTACGTTGTACAGCGGTGCATTTTCGATGAGAAAGTTGTGAAAGGACAAGCCCCATTCATTCCTGGAGTACAAGATGCCGATTCGAGGAACACCGATGCTATTGAGGTAGTTCAAAAAGATTTTGGCTTCTGACTGAACGCTGGTGCAGGTTCGAGCGTAAAACGGGCTATATGAAAGAGAAGGAAAGGTTCATTTGAGGATGCATGCACAATGGAGTCGCTCCATACCATGGATTTGTCTCAAAAGGGATCTGCTTACCTGTTGTCCAGGGACTGGCTGGTGGATATAGTACCGATTGTAGGTATTTCCAGACCACTGGTCACAATACTGACTGGAAGACTCACAGAGGAACTGTAGGGGCCCCAGACAGCAAATGGCTTTTTCCCAGGTGCCCGATATGAGTCCAATGCTTCTTCTACCCCCTTGAAAGGACGGAACCGTGTGTCTCTACGTTGCGTGGGAAATACATAGAGAATCTCAACAGACATGTAAGGCAAGGCAAACTCCTGCACATTTAAAAGACAAGATTGCAATCTGCAGACAGACGCCAAGATCTGGCGGCACAACAGATATCCAAACAACGCTGTGCCTGAGCGCCACCCACCAGCCAGCCCGAGCTAGCTAGCTAGGGTTGGTCTCACAGCCTAGGAAGCCAGCGCATTGGATGCGCTTTTGAAGGACAATACTGCAATCTGAAGCACCTACCTGAATTCGACCTCCATGGTAAAGTCACAACCAGCCAACAAGTCTGGTATTTCTGGCAAGACAGCTCCATTTCGAGAATTGAAATGCTCTAACGCGAGGTACGCAGCTGCTTCATAGTAAAGATATTCTTCACGAGGCTTTCTTGGATTTTCGTAGGTTGTTTTGGGCCAAAGACCCGACACAAACCCGTGCCTTGTGTTGGTTGTCCTATCATGAATCACCGCTGACGCCATGGTTTGGTTTGGTGCATGGAGCTAGCGATTAACTTTTGCCTATTCCTTCTAAAGTTGTAGCACATTATCTATCAGATAGTAACTGGTGTGGTCAATCGCTTTTTTGTTCAAGCGTCCTTCAAAAGAACAGAAACTTGATGCGGGGATTCTCAAGGATCATGAACTTCTTTTGTTTCAACCAACCTTCGTCCCTGGACATCTCGGAGAACACCTAAAAGCTACTACAGTGTACATCATACTCTGGGAGTACCGTAGCACTTATCCAACCTTGTCAAAACTGGAGGCAAGGAGAGGGCGACGCGAAGGCCACGAGATACAACGGGACATGAAGGGCCACCACCAGGTCCTGTGATGAACCTCTCTTCATGAACCTCGCAGGTGAACCCTTCAGCTTTCATCGAAGCGACTTCTCATCGAATGGCAGGCCCTGCCTATTTCTGTTGAAAGTACAAGGATGTATGGCATGGCATACGTACCGGTACTGGTACCAGTGATACCGTACCGGTACCAGATCTCGGAGAATGCTGGTGGGACTTTATTCTGCTCCTCCGCATTTAGGGTTGACAGTTAGTTTCTATCTTGTGAGTTCTTTTTGGCTGACTCCTTTGTCACGTCAACGCAACTACCACACATCATATACTATTATGTGCCGTACCCTCCGTCGCCTCCAGCAAATAAGAGTCAAGCTGCAACATGTACGGTCGTACGTACAAGGCTTCGCTTTGTTCAGCCACAATCTCTTGCAACGTCTCTAAGCTACTGATACGGTACCGGTAGCCATGGCAGGCAGCCCAGACGAAGCTGCTACGGTATTACCTGTGCGATCTCTCAATCTTCCGTACTGTACCGAGTGCCCATCTAGCTATAGTCAGAAGCCATGCCAACCAACAATCAAATCTGAATGCAAAGGGCTAGTTCTACATGTATGTCTGTACTATAGAAGCAAACTTTTTGAAGAAACTCATCGTACTACTCAGATCACATTATCTAAACTATGCATTGGGTTGCTTCCAAGCTTACTATTCCCAACTTGAACAAAGGCATTGGACGCGGAAGGGTTGTTTTCAATAATTCGCCCTTCAGTTTCCTTGCACGGCGGAATAGGCACGGAAGCGGCGATTGCGTTTAACTTGGCTGATGCGCTGAACGCGGTCACGGGGGTTGCTCGCTGGCTCGGACTTCTTGGCAGGAATGCTGCTGGAACGTCCCGAATTCTTCTTGGCAAACAACCAAGCCAATCGTCCGCTCACAGGACCCTGGATCTTTTCAGCCACCTCTTCCGTCTCCTCCTCGTCATCGCTGTCCGTAAGATCACTCTCCAAAGAGGAGGAGGACATGTTGTCATCGTCCGCCTCGTACACATTGAACTCGACATGGACATTGTCTTCGTTGATAAAGTGCCCAATCTCACTGGCTGAAATGCTGTTGTGATCGTAGCACTCAGTAGAGCAGGATGTTCCCAACGTGGACAAGGTTGACGTGCGCTTGTGGCCCTGAGGCTTGCCATCCTTGAATCCGATGGTGCCGCTGATAATGGATGTTGCGCTGCTGGGTTGCTCCTGAAGGTAGAAAATGTGTTCCCGTTCGTACTCAATTGTTGTTGGAGCCATATCCACCTCGTTTGGGACCGAGATGCAAAAGGGAACGAAATCATAACGGCGTGGAAAGCTGCCATCGGGAGTATGGACAGCCTTGGTTTTCTTGATGGCATGAAGACGGCCGCGACTACGACGATGACGACCGCCGCCTCCGAATGCGACATGACCATTCTTGGTGTTGTGGGACTTCTTTGCAACAGCCATGGCTACGGCATCGTTCGATTGCAAGTACCAATCTTTGCCCAGTTCGGCTTCCATCTCGAGGCGGAAAGCCTTCTGTTCGACCTTGCCAAACTGACCCATGTAGCGATCGATTTGAAGGAGCACCTGCATGTCGGCTTCCGAAGGACCTTGAGTGGCGGAGGTGGGTTTGCTGTTCATCATCATGGTGAGCGTGAAAGTTTCTTTGCTTTGATATACTTGCAATGAATGTGTGTTGCTATTGTGTTTCGGTTGTTGAGCCGAGCGAATAATGAGCTTTCTGTTGTGAACTCTTCCACGGTCTCCATCGCCGTCGGAAGAAACGACAGCCTCGAATCCGTTTCGCACCGCTACCGGCAACTGGGTGCTTCCGTTTCAACCAGACGTCAGACATCGTGAGTGATAATCTGCTATAGAAAAAGAATCCGTACCCACGTACTGGTACACTACCGTGCGCAAGGTAGGAATGAAGAAACCAGCAGTATCTGTTGATGGTTAATGGCTAGTATCGATGGTTGTCGAAACGATGAAGCGCGTTGAATCATCAGTCGGGCGCGGGCAATGCATCGCACACGTCGTTTTCACGCCCTTGCTCTGGAGGTGCGTGAAGCTGCCAACCTTCTTCGTGCCGTCCACCCTTAATGGTTTGCCCGTAAGGCTGTCTGATTGCCACTGTCTCTTAAAATCGAGACCTGCCGTGCACTTGCTTCGAGATACAGAATCATTTTTTGTACATCTTCCTTGCGCTTCGGTATATATTCAAAGGAGCGACCCAACTAGAGTAGAAGATAGAAGTGTCACCAACGGCACGATTTCCTGGCCCGGGCTTGTACCGTACTCTACTCTACCTGTCAACCCAAGTTGTGTGGGTGCTCGCCATCGATCGAGACACCAATCAACTGCAGTAGTTGTTTATAGCTCCCTCTTTCTTCGTCGTGACACAACGACAGTTCAAAGGAGCATTGATGATCATCCTCTTTGCCCCTTATGATCTCTAGAATCTCCCACAGATTGATCCACCGATCGACATAGACAATGGCCTTGTTCCAAGTGGAAGAGGCTTTGGTTTGATTATCATTATGGAGGCGAATGCCATTGATAGTAATGACTGGTGCCTGTGTCCCAAAGGCCAATCCAATCCATTTCAAACGAGATTCCAATAGTTTGATCCGGAACGATGGTGTAGCATCACAATGGAATACTTTGTAGCCGTATTTGCGATCGGCGCGACGCTTGTCGACCCGATGTTCCAATGCAAGGGGCTGCTGGTCAATATCGTGCCTGTTGGCAATGTGTAGATTGGTGGTAACAGAACTGGATGCAGAGTTTGTGTGGTTGCCAAACTGTCCTCGTGGAACCCAAGGTGAGAGTGACCCCACCGTGGTGTTTGCATCAAACAAGTCCGTCCACAATTCCTTCCATTCAAGAGGAATATCTGGGCTCAGAACACTCTGAGTATTAGTATATATATTAGTAGAAGCAGCAGATCCTCTGAAAGAGGTGATGCTACTGCTGATTGTTGTTCCTGTGGTTGTGTCATTTGCAGTAGTATCATTATTGGAACGTACTAGTGATGATGATAATAAGTTGGAAACTAAAAAGTATTGAATCATATCTGCAATAATACCCACTGCCTGGCAAGAAGGATGATGACGGTCATCAAAGAGGCGCGATGAATGGGCCATGATGGTGGTTCGATTGATGACGGCTCCCACATTGATGACTCCAATGTCCCAATTGGAATAAGAGGGTGTGTCGAGGAGATTATGAATCACAGAGTTTACCACACGTTGGTTGATAATGGTGCCATTCGTCCTTTGTATCCACTTTCCGTTTTGGGCATTGATTTGGAACTCCCAGAGGTACAAGAGGACAATGGGAGGTGGAGGTTGATTGTGGTAGAGTACTCTGACGCGTGTCAACCAAAAGTCCAGTTTGCGCACTTGTTCCTCTAGACTCCCGTGGTGATCGTTAATGTGGAATTCCCACAGGAGCACATCGGTAGAGCGAGGATCAATGAGTTGATCCAGCATGAGGGCATTGGTGACGGAATCCGTGGCTCCTTGGGCTAGATTGACAACCTCCAGGTGTGGATATGATTGTTGTGCTGTGGATGATGCTGTCATGACGTTCCAACGCTCTTGTAGCTGATTGCTGTATCGTCCTCCGTACAAATCATCATCATCATTACTATTAGTAGTATAAAAAGTAGTAGAAGAAGAACAATTGTTGGCTGCTCTGGCAGATGCAGACCCTCCAAGGATTGCCATGGTCAACCCTGTCTTTTTGTTTCCCTTTTGATGCAAGATTCTCTCCAGACTACCAGGCTTCCATTGCCTGGGAAAGCCATGTTCCAAAAAGTAGTCTTTCGATGACACCAGCAACTGTTGATCATCATTGCCACCTGACTCCTCTCCTCTTCCCAATGGCAGCGAACTCTTCTCGGCCATTTCTTGCCATGCCCACATGGTCTGTGATGGAAGATCCGGATTACTAGTACTAGTAGTCCATTGCATGGATGACGTTGCAGCAGTATCCACCAAAGAAGTGCCATGATCCTTCTCCTTCTTTGTCTTGGTCAAAAGATCCGCCACCATAAAGGTTCTCATACACGCCACTGCTTCTTCCCAAATGCTCCAACTCACGACGACACATAGTAATAATAACAGCACCAGGCAACCAAACCAAGATACGGGCAGGGAACAGGAAGACTTCATTCTACTTGGTTGGTAGACTACGTATATACTAGATCTAGTACAGTGCTGCAGCCCAAAGGTCTCTTTGGCATGGTCGACGATGTTTCTTCGTTTCCAATTCGAAAATTTGAATTGAAGCCAGTTTAGCTGCCAAAAATACAAGGGAACCTATACAGAACGTGTCCTTTTTCGTTGCTTGCTAACTACGCTACCGGTACGGGTACGGGTAGCCTACTGGTACGGTACTGGTACGGGTATCCATCTCTATAGACTCGACTCGGAGATACGGTAGTTCGGAGAGTGCGGGAAGCCTGCTGGACCGTCCGACGGTTGTCACTCAGGTTTTAAAAAAACTCAAAATTTTGCAGTTGAAACATTCCCTTAAACATTCCCTTAAAACATTCCCTTAAATCCTTAACATTCCCTTAACATTCCCTTAAATCAACATTCCCTTAACAACATTCCTTTAACGCTTCGAAACATTCCTCTAAGCCTTCATGTAAACCCCATAGAACATTCCCTTAAAAGAAATGAACATTCCATTAAATAAACATTCCCTTAAAACATTCCCTTAAATCCTCAACATTCCCTTAACATTCCCTTAAAGCTTCAACATTCCCTTAACATTCCCTTTTAACCAGAACCACGATTTGAGCAGTTTTTAAACCTGAGCAAAAACCGTCGGACGGTCCTGCTCCACCACCAACCAAGTTTTAAAATAATAGTGGCATACATGGGTTCAGAAATTCCCATGCGGTTGGCACCCGCAAACAATTTTAAGTCATTGCAGCCAAGAGAGTGAGCACTGGCCAGGGTGGTCAATCGAATCAAACATGCTTATTTGATATATGTCTGCGTCGGATCGCAATCAATGACGGCGAAATCTTGTACTTGTTTATCTATCAATCCATACTGGGCGTGTGAGGTCTGAAGGCATGCTTCTGCTGCTCGCCACATGGCCGTACATATACAAAGACACCAAAGGAAGTGGACTGATGGTGAGCCAGTAGGTAGGTAGGTAGGTAGGTACCAGACAGCACGCTACCGGCACTAGCTAGGCAAGCACGCTACAGTACTATCAGGTCCTAAGAGTGAATTCAGGACTGACTCAAGTATGCACGATGAGCTAAAACTTAGGGTAGGATACTAAAAAGAGCGGATCGAGCTTGGCGATTTCAAATCACCTTGCTCCATAGTCGCTTTGTACTCTTTCATATAGACTAAACAGAATATTCGTCAAAATTGCTCTGGTGGTTGCTTGAGCCATCTTCTTGGAGACTTTCACTTCTCATGTGTCGAGTCCCGCCTTCCCGGAGACTCTGCCTTGAAGGCTGCTTTTTGCCAGGTGCAACTTTCTTATCAGATGAGGGGAAGAACGATTTCCATGAGCCATTTTCTTTGCCATCAACAATGGCTCCAGCTGCAATGTAGCATCCGGGGTGCACAACTCCAGAAATGTAGACATCATCTAGTGTGAGTCCATTGATATCAAAATAGTGGCCACGGGGGTAGGCATTGTCCACGACAGTGTTGCCTTGGAAGTGGTAGTTTGCAAACTCATCAAGTGTGCAATCAAAGAACCAGAGATCACCATTGACTTCAGCGCCCATTACTCGAACATACATCTGGAACATGGGTGTTCCCATCAGAAACACCTCAACGGGGTTTCCGTCTCGGAATCCTTCCACATAGGAAGTATAAACAGAAAACAAATGGGTTTGGATTTTGGGAGGAACCACATTCAGGACGGCCCACTCATTTATCTTGGCAATGAGGATCCAAACAAGGAACTGAAAGGCAATAGCCACACCAACAACCAAGGTGACAACACCTGAGGAATGGTTACCTCCTGAAACTGACGCAGCCAGCTCAAAGGAAGGAATAATACTCCAAAATATGAAAGCAAGAAGAATCAGCTGGGCCAATTCAGGTAAAAAAAATTGTAGGAGGCTTGGGCTACATCTGGCGTAAGGAGGGTTCAAATCATAGATCTTGTCTGAGACCTGACTTCTTGAGGGGATGTTTGATCTGATGACCTTAGCACCAGCATGAACAACTGTGTCTCTTCCAAGAGAGCTGCCCAGGATTTCAATCTTCTCTCCAGCCGGCCTGTCCAGTTCAAAATGGGCAAGGGAAAGGAAAGATTGGCGTACTTTCATGTAGTCTACTTTTGAAGGAGGGAAAATTGCTGTGGCAGTAAATAGAGCAGACACAGCATCAACATCCAGTCCATGGAGCCATTGAATCAATGAAGCGAGTTTGGAACCCCCCATAAAATTGCCAAGTGTCCAAGCAGCAATCCGAAAGTGGTAGTCACAGGCCCAGTTGGTTGCTCTTCTCCATAAAGTTCCCTCATATTCTGTTGATGGATCTCTCTTTCCAATCAAGAGCCATTTCATTATGATGCTTGTCACCATAGCCAGTAGTGATGCAAACGGAAAGAGCAGGAACCAGTGCAGAACAACATGGTAGCGCCAGGGTGGTAAGACGTCTTTGAGGATTGCATTGGCAAGGAAGTATAGAGCAGAATAATGGTAGGCTTCTGAAAACATCCAGAGAATCTTAAAGGCATCGAGCAGGGAATCTTCCTGCCAGTTTGACTGTTGACGCCTGCATGTACCTGCATTGTATGCGGGGTTGCCACGTGCAATCACTTCAGGGGAGACTTGGGCACGTTCCTCCACCACTGCCAACCTTTCTAGCTTGCAACCAGCTCCAATAGTAGCACCAGGGCTCACCATTCCAGAAATTTTGCAATCTGATCCAATGTCAATAGGAAGAAACACCATAGATAGACTGTCCTCAGTCCATGGCCTGAACTTTCTGCATCGGATAGCATGGCCAACTGATGAATTGGCCCCAATACTGACAAGATCGCATTCTCTGATAAAAGCATCAATCTTTACAGACCATGCAATGTCAGCACCAAGCAACCAGTAAAAAAGCCATGCACACTTGGTTTCCAAAAGAAATCTTCCAGCAAAGAGCTCCCAGATATGCAGCAATCGATCAATAAACCACCACCTTAAGTAGTCCCAAGACATCAAATTGATTTCCTGAGGGTGGTACTTGCCAATAATCAGTGTCTTGCAAAGAACCAGAATGATGGAGAAGGATATAATACATATGGGAAGTAACAGAGGCAACAACAACCAGCTTGCAGCAGTGCAGGTTTTACCACGCGAAGTATCACAGTCTGCCAACTCTGCTGCAATCAAGTATGATGGAATGATAGCAGCCACCACCAGAATAAGGATTGTTAGGATGCCCAGTACTTGAACAAAGCCCATCTGTAGCTTGCTGCACCTTGATCTTGCCGTGCTCCAGTGGAAGAAGGGGTGCCTGTCTGTGTCTTGGATAGCAAAGCACTTGCCTTCGGATGCTTCTAAGAAGACAGAAAGTTCTTCGGGTGTTGAGTGGAGCTGTTCAAAGTTTGCTGGTAGGACCACATGCAACTCTTCCTCCGCTCTGTTCCTCAGCTCAGCACTCTTGAGTGATGTTAGACCATGTTCAACCCATGATTTTGCCATGTCAACTTCTGAACCAAGGATGGAGATGACCAAATTGTGGAAATCCTTGGGTGAGTTTGTAGAGTGGGACTTAAATCGATTCGGACATTCTGAGGATTCAAAATCTGTTGCCTCTGCACGGACTTCGTTCTCTGCTGGAATTGCATTGTCATGTGGCTGAAACCTTAGGATCACAGAAGATGTCTTCCAATCACAGGCAATTGTTGTCTGCCTGATCTCACTCCTCTTCAACTTGCCAGATGTGGTCTTGGGTGTCACACCAAGCTTGAGGACAACAACCTCTGAGGCTATTTTGACCGCCAGATCTTCGTTTGATGACTTGTCAAACCCTTTGCGAGCCTCGAGTGTGACACCAATGCTGTCCTCTCCAAGCTGAAAGGCTGATGTCCTTCCTGGACGAATAACATCACCAAAAGCCTCATCAATGGATAGCTCTACATCAGTTGGGTCATAGTTCTTTCCATTCACAATGATGACATCTTTGACTCTGCCAGTGATGTACATTTGCCCATCAACAATCTTGCCCAAATCACCAGTTTCTAGCCAAGAGCCTTCATATCCTGGCAGTGAATTGGCAAATGTAGCCTTTGTAAGCTCAGCCTGGTCATAATACCCTGCTGCAACACGTGGTGATTGGGCCCAGATGCTTCCAACTTGCCCATCCTCCACCTCCTTTCCGCCCTCAACAATTCGAAGCTTCAGGGTAGGTGAGTTTACTTCTCCACAGCAGACAAGACCTTCAGAGTCTGGTTTGGCTGGTCCACCAGTTACAAGCACTACCATTTCAGCCATACAATAGATGTTGTAAATATGCTCAGGTTTGATAGCAAGGGTTTTTGACACTGCCTCCACAACGTGGCTCTGGGCTGGTTCACCTCCAAACATGGCCCGCTTCACACAACTCCAGTCAGCTGTCCTGTTGACCTGCTTCAATCTTTTGAGGAGCAAAGCATAAGCAAAGTTGGGCGCTGGGGTGATGGTGGCCTGATATTTCTCAACCATATCAGTCCACAGCAATGGGTTGACGATGAAATCCAATGGTGAAGCCATGACAAGGGGGGTACCAGAATATGTAGCACCCATAAACCCAGTCACAAGTCCCATGTCTGGATATTGAGGGGGGATGAGGTACCGAAAGAAGCATGGGGAACAAGTCAGTTGCAGTGGCTGGAACTTACCATGGTATTGAAGGACCCACAGAACTTCCAAATCATTGGGTCCCTGACAATCTGTTAAAGTAACACCTCCTTTGCATGTTTCAGCCAAATTGTTGTGACTGATCATGACTCCTTTCGGTCGACCAGTACTGCCAGAGGTGTACTGGATGAAGCAGATATCTTCGGGTTCTCCTACAAATTGCTCGTAATCTTTGGGCTTGTTTGGATTGCTGTTCTTGATTGGGAGTTTGTCGGTTCCAATCCATGTAACACCAGTCTTGTAGATGACACTAGCCGCAGTCATGCCAGCTGCAAACCTATTCGTGGAGAGGGCATACTTTGCTCCGGCATCCTCCGCAAATCTGCGGAACTTTGGCATATCTGTTTTGAGCTGATTGGGGTTGGGCGGATAAATGGAGCAGGGGACAACTCCAATTTTCATAGCACCGAACATGCCAGGCAAGAACTGAAGGCCAAAAGGATAGGCAATCATGACACGGTCTCCCTTTTGGCATCCCAGCTTGAGGAGACGGGCAGCCACGGCATTGGATTGGTCTTCGACCTGTTTGAATGTCATCTTGTATTGCTCTTCGCACTTGATATCGACCCAAGTAAAGACAACCTTGTTGGGGGTCTCTGTAGCATGATGAGCCAAGCATTCCAAAATAGTCGAGAAAGACTTCATCTTTGTCACGGAGGTGTCTTGTACACAAGATTTCGAGCAAATGGAACCATGCAACTGAGTCGAGCGACCCAAATTATCGAGCTTCTTGCTCAGAAGTCCGGTTGGTGAACTGGAACCCTCCATTTTCTCTCTACCGCTACTCTACTATAGTACCGGTAGGGTTGTTGCGTACGTGAGTACTAATATCCAATGCAGCTTTGATTGGGGGGGGATGGATGTCTGTTTATGAGGAGTTATCTAAGCTTATCTAATAGTACAGTTGCCGGTGGTGAAGGCTGAAGCGGAACGGTGGTTCGAACGACCAGGAAGTGGCTGTTGGACCGAGGAAAGTGGCTGTGCCGATGTTTAGGGCTGGTAGCTAGAGACTTCGTCTTTGCATGTTGAGTGCTTCATCTGCTTGCTGGCCACCTCGGTACCACCACCGGTCCTGGATGTACCACCACCGGTCCCGGTAAGTCAAAAATTTACTGTTCATCAGAGTTACCTCAGTAGTATCAGTGTGTAGGGAAACTACGGCAAGTTGAAGTTCAATCTCGCATTTTAGAGCCTCCTCAGCATCTTGATGGATCAGGGATCAGGGTCGTTGGGTAAAGACGTGCTGGCGCGTAATACTGACTTAATTAAAGGCTACAAGCCATTTTCAAAATCGGCTTGTATCATAAATCCATCAAACCGGCTGATTAAGTTCTGTTCTCGAGTCAGGTGATGTGGGATTTAACCTCTTATTACCCAACGACCCAAGGGAAGAGAAACGTCAACCTGGAAGCCAGTTTCCTTGAAGAGACATAACCCCGCGGCAACCGCATTGACAGCACGGGTTGGTGCTCAACAACTCAAGAGGGATAGCTACAGTCGCCTACTAGCTAACAGTAGAGTAGAAAAGATCTTGAGGTTGTCAAAGGTTTGTCCTGTTGCCTGTGAGAGGTCCTGATGCTATTGAGGTCAAAAGGAGTGCTCATGGAGGAAACCAGAGTTTCACATCATCGTTTGGGACAAAGCACCCATGCACTCACTGACTCACTGCCGAAATCCGCATACTCATTAAACCACAATGCCAACAACAGTATCGCTACCAATCAAAGGACTGAAGACGGTAACCAATCACCTAGATTCAAAAATATATTTCGGTTCTGTTGGGTGCCTTTGTTAACAGCTACTTCATATCTTGGGGGTTGGTTTGGTTAAATGGGGAGGGTTTTGGGGGTACGTAGTATTGTTAGTTACCTTATTGGGGACCCCGTAATTACTTTGTGAGAGGAGTGGCAGGGACGGCGCGCATGATGTTTCACATTGTGAGCGGATGTTTCATCCGCCAAGGATTCAAACATCTTTTGGAATGTTTTCTTTGAGGAATTCAAGTCAAACATCGTGTATTGATTCGTTTTTACTAATTCTAAGTCAAACATGCATGCTACTACAACAGCCAACCATTGAACCCTACTAAAAAGCCTGTAGAATTTTTCAGATGAAAGGTCCCCCCCCGGATTAGAACTGTTCTACTACCGGCAGGCTTTTGAAAGGTGAAGATGGCAAATAGTAACGTACATCGCGGGCTGAGCATGCATGCACGTGAAATCCGGACAACACCACCTCTGCATGCTTCCACCACCAAAAATCAATTCAGGCAATTCGAGCGAAGGAGCCTGCCCCGGATAATCAAGCCCCGCGTCACGATCGAGCCCGTAGTGACTCCACCAGTGCATACTTGTCGTGTTGGTCGAATTTCACGTGGTATCATCAGCCATTGTGCAATACACGGCTCTTAACCATATTCGCGACTCGATCCTAGATAGGGTTTGAGTTTGACTCATGACTGAGTCTCTCGTGAATAGTTATTGAGACAGGGTTCTCAATGACCGCTCTAGTCATACTAGGTTGATGATGAAACATCGCTCTAGATATTTAGCCAGCGTGGAGTACTTCCACGCTACTAGATCCATGCTAGACGAATCTTCGACGCGTTCCGTTTTAGGATCGTGGAGATACGTAGGATTACTACCGCAACCTACTCTATCACAATTTATAGTCTCCCGCGGGAGACCAGATCTACGATCCTTTGATGGTGATCTCTCTCGTTGATTAGTTTTCATAGCTTTCTAATCTCTCTCATAACTTTCATTCTCTCAAACACAAAACACTCGAAAGATCTTTACACTAGCTTTTAGCGTAGTGCATTTTGTTAACAAACACAATAGCTTTCAGCTACCCTCAACCTATTCCTTCACCATGAAGATTGCTCAAGGAAAGCATGCGTTCACCAACTTCGAGAAACAGTTGCGTGACAAACCCATTCTTCCTCTCGTCGACAATGACGAAGACGCCGAGATCGACGATTCTCGTGCAACCACCTACAAACTTCGCACCGTTCCTGCAGATGCAAACAGTGCCAAATACACCTTCAAGGTAGCCATCATCAATGGTTCCAACACTCCACGTCAGACCATCAAGTGGGCTACGAATATGGAGAAGGTCTTCGTTGGACTCAACCTTGCTAGTCCCGACGACAAACATCGCCTTCTCAAGGAGATGACTTCCAGCTCTGCGAAGAGTGCCTACGAAGCTGGGTGTGCAGGCCATCGTGCCGTGCGTCATAACGCCCTACGACAAATTGCTGTGAACGCAATTCCTCCACGCGATGTGACTTCTGGAGAAACCGAAGTAGCCTTCCAGGCTCGTGTCCAAGCCGCATGGGACGGTGCAGCGGAACCCGCTCTAAGCGATGCTGACATCACCTTTGGAATCAACGCGATTATCGAAGCAGCCTGTCCTTACAAGGCTCTCGAAAAACAGAAACGCTTCATGCGTCGCAAGATGCGTAAGCCTAGCGAGATGACAACTCGCGCCTACATCAACAACCTCACTCGGATGAATACCGATGAGCTTCCACGTTTGCCACCTTTCGGTGTTGCGACGGGATACAGCTTACAATTCAGCTTTACAGCTTTATCATTAGCAGGCTTATTCTAGAAAATAATCAATAACTGCTCACTTATTTGGAAATACAAACTTTACATCTCTTAGATCCCTAGACTAGTCAATGCACAATGGTATTGTCGCATGGTAGCATGCGAGGTTATGAGATGTTACTCATTCTTGTTCTTATATGTCTATCCCTTATGGTTGTCAATGGAATGAGCTATCCCTTGATGCAGATTGCTCCAGAGTTTCCTCTTGCACTCTTCATCGGTAGTCCTTCCTCTTATTGCAACTTAATCCCCTTGGATTCGCTCGCAAGCAATCCCCTTGTCCTTATTGACGATCGTAATCTCAATGAGGATCATCCTATTATTTTGGATTCGCTCAAAAGCAATCCCCTTGTTCTTAATCCTATTGACGATCGAAATCTCAATGAGGACCCTGTTATCTCGATCGCTGCAGGAGCCACTACTGGTACTGCTACGACTACTACTACTGTTATCTCTATCACCGGCAAAGTTACTACTGTTATCTCTATCACCGGCAAAGTCGGACCGTCGTCAACTCCTTCCATGCTCAGCTTCAGCACGGATCGATCGATCTGCACGGATCGATCGATCGGCCGAGTTAACAAAATTCATCGAAAAATGAGCTCCGACTGCTATGGAAGGCTCGGCTTGTGTCTTGCTTCGAGTCATGCTTTATTTAATTCGAATCGCTGAGCTTAAGTCTTTTCTTGAGTCATGCTTCATATCCTCCTTTTTCATTAACTCGGATAACAGCAGGAGACGACAACAACACCGATCGATCGCTCCGTGCTGTGTTCTCGCTCTCTGCCTACCAGGACCGGCCATTGGTCTTTGAACTGGCTTGCAGTTGCAGTTGGCATGGTCGTTTGAAACTGGCTTGCAGTTGCGTGGTCGTTGCAGAAGTACGGATCGTACGGTAGCGATCGATCGCTCGTCGCTCGGTCTCCATCGAGTATTTTGAATTCAAACTCGAAGAATTCAACTGGTCTCCTTCGATTGAACTCAGGCTTGGGCTTGAAGGATCCAAACGACGCGAAGAACAACAATAAAGCTCATAAATTCCATCTTCGATTGACTCGATTGATCGGATATTACACACGTGCTCCTCTTGTTGCGACGTCGTGCTATATGCGTTTCGTG